GTGTGTGTGTGTGTGTCTCTCTCTCTCCCCGTCAGTGAGTGAGTGTGTGTGTGTCTCTCTCTCTCCCCGTCAGTGAGTGAGTGTGTGTGTGTGTGTGTGTGTCTCTCTCTCCCCGTCAGTGAGTGAGTGTGTGTGTGTGTGTGTGTGTGTGTGTCCACGAGCGCCTCTCTCCGTCTCTGAAAAGGGAGTCTTTACAATGCTACAGGGATAGGCTACCGGCACCAGAACAACCACATTAAGCTGTAGTGGTTCTGGTGACTATAGTGTCCCTTTAAGAATTGTATTTTTGACGTTGAAAAATCTGGCTGCTAACTCTTTTAGCTGGCTCCTAGATTCCAAACAAATTTGTCAAGCCCTGGGCTAGACAGTCCTTGACAGGAATCTCAGACCTAATGGTACCCATTAAAATATTTACATAAATTAAAGGTTCACTGTAGTGCCAGGAAAACATACACTAGAGGATTTGGAGGCTGGATTAACCCTATTATAAACATAGCAGTTTCTCTGAAACTGCTATGTTTATAAAAAAAAAAAAAAAAAAGGGTAACCCTAGCTGGACCTGGCACCCAGACCACTTCATTAAGCTGAAGTGGTCTGGGTGCCTAGAGTGGTCCTTTAAGGCGTAACCAAACAAAGCTACTTTGACTTAGAGAATTTTTCCAGTTTGGCTACTTTAATCCATAAAAATTTGAAAAATTCACCTTAGCGAATAGGTTGCCAACAGGGATTTAAAAAAAAAAAAAAAAAAAATTTTTAGAAATTTTCAATTTTTGCAAGAACAAACCATTTTTCACAGTAATAAACAGGGTTATTTACTAAAGTGAGAATTATTTGAATTTATATAGTGCCAACATGTTCTGCGGTAAATTAGATGTGAAGAATGACTTGCTCAAATGAGCATAAAATATATGAGAATATATACAATTAGGTGTCTTGCATAAGGTCTGACAGGAATTTGAACCTGTGACATTACCACTCTAACCAGCTGAGAATTAAAAGTCAAATTAATGCCAAGCCAGAGTAGCGGAACTGAAAGCATAGTTTAAAGATCTTTTCTAGTTCAATTATTTTGATTTTAAAATTGACATTTACTTCCAATTCTTACTTTAGTGAATAACAGTGTATGGTTTTCAAGACCTATTTAAACGTAAAGGAGCACTAGGTCTCCAGACCACTGCATCTCCCTGAAGAGCTCAGGATACAATGTCCCTGTCCCACTTAGTCATGCAATGTAAAACATTGCAGTTTTTGAGAAGCTGCAATGTTTACATTGCAGTACTAAGACTGCTTCCTGAAGTTCAACAAATTTTGACTCAGTGAAATGACGCTGGACGTCCTCACAATCTGCATGAGGATGTCCAGCGTCAGAGAAAAGCACCAAGGCAATGTTTTCCTATGGGGAAAGCCTAAAGTGAGTAAAGTTTTCTTTTACCCTTTATGTATTGAAGGATACAACTTTGTATTCTTAAAACTGTAGTTTTCCTTTAAAATAGCACAGCCATTTTTCAGTTGTCTATAAACATAGAATCTTTTAAAGAAAAACAAACTCTGGATATGTAACAAAAGATTTTAAACTAAATTCTAACACAATCAAAATATATAAAACAAATTAAAAACTACACTGGTTTAAGTGCCGATGTTTGGCAAACTTACCAGGATATTTTAAGGGACACTATAGTCACCCTCACAACTTCATCTTAATCAGCTTAATCCTGCAACATAAAACATTGCCGTTGTGAAGAAACAGAAAAGTTTACATTGCAAGTTTAAAATGCCTTAGGTGGCTGTCACTCAGATGCTCCCACAGGAATAGTGAAGTAAAACTCTGCTACTTCTATCAGATGGTCTCATAGAGACCATCTTATTGGTTCAGCACGGCATTTTGCCAAGCATAAGCACTAGCCTCCAAATGCTTTATACCCTTTGGATGGGGGTGGGCACATCTAAACTTCTAATAGTGCACTATAGCATTGGGAATACACATTTGTATTCCTTATGCTATAGTGTTCTTTTAATATATTTTCTTATATGCTATTTTTAACACATATGTATTTGTTAAATGTGAAAAAAAAAAAAAATTCCACGTCGGCGCCTCTATTGCGTCTATTGTAGGTTCTTGTTTAAAGGACTCAATAGGCACCCAGACCACTTCATCTCATGCCTTCTTTTGGATCAACAGCAACAAGGAAGGCTGAACTTGATGGACGCAAGTATCTTTTCAGCTATGTAACTATGTAAAGTGCTGTGGGTGCAGTGTCCTATTCCTTTAACCCTGCAATGTATAACACTGTAGTTTTAGAGAAACGGCAATGTTTACATTGCAGGTTAATACTGCCTCTAGTGACTGTCTAGCAGGCAGCCACTAGATACGGTTCCTGCAGTTTAAACGACGCTGGACATCCTCACACTTTGCATGAAGTCATCCAGGAAAAACCCCACAGGAAAACAGTTTCAATGCTTTGCTATGGGGAAGGCCTAAATTGTGCGTGGCACTTAAAGGCAGATGGATAATATAGTGTTAGGAATAGAATTTTGTATTCCTAGCCCTATAGTGATCCTTTTATCAAGGTCATAAGCAACGTAATTTGCACATTGCACACAGATAAGGATAATTTAAACAATGCTTCTATTTTTCCTCCTCATTTGCAATTTGTGCCATGGCTGTGCCTAGACTGAGCTGCAATGTTCTGCATTTTACTGAATCTTTAATATAAAATATTAGAGAAAAATCACATGAAAAAAATGTTTAATTTTTTTTTTTTTTTTTTTTTTTATCTACCCTTTGTGTGGTACGTTTACAAGTTTGCATTCCAAAAACTATTGTTTTCCTTTACAATAGCACATTTTTCAATTGTCTATAAACGGAGAGAATAGAAATCCTGGATATGTAACAAATGATTTTCAACTAAATTCCACCACAAATGTTAAAATGTTTTAATCATTGGTGTAAGTTACAGAGACTTTCCTCTTTTAAGGTTCTTTTACCACATCTTGCCTTTTTTAGTGGTGGCTGGGTAGAGGCATCTGCTTGTACACTATAAGCTTATAGTATCTCACTGTTCAGGTGTGACAAGATCTATGGGCGGCATACAGCTGCCTAGTCTACAGAATTCGATTTTGTACATACCCAAGAATACACTGCTTCTAATGGACTATCAGTTAGGAGCTGAAAAAGGAGGCATTGATGGATAGCTTTAAATGAGTATTGTCACTTCCCTAGAATATTACACCTAAACTTCATTAAGGTGATGCTCATTTTTTTAAATATTTTTTTTAAATATATATGAGTTAGCAAGGGAAATCACAATACAGTTCAGCTCGACACACAGTGCTAATGAGAACAGAAACGTTTCCAGTTTTGTTTTTTACAAAAAAATAAAAATTAAAAAAAAGACTTAATTACAGAAATGGGTGACATAAGAAAGACTTACAGTGATCCAAGATGGAAGCACCCAGTTGCAGGATGAAAAGTTGCGTATTTGCATATTTAATTTTTGAGACCACTTGAATACTAATATGCTAAACAGGATTAGTAAACAGAAAACCTGGAAAGTGACAGTACTCCTTTAAGTATGTCTAAGCACTTGCTCTGCCCTAGGTACTACCATCAAAACCGTCATGGCACCTGTTAAAAATATAACGAAATCTATTACAATGCTTGGATGATTCAACTCTTATATCCAACCAAGCAAACATCGCATATACTTATATACATTAAAAAAACAAAACATTTTTACTAGCCAGAGTGTGCGGTTTGCTTGGTTGGATATAATGGTTGAAACATCCAATCATAGTACTGGATTGTCTTTCAAACACCACTGACACTGCTGGATTCTTTATATTTTTGCAAACACTCACAAAAACAAATGTATACCAGGGAATGTTGTTTTTTTTTGCCATTTTAATATCCCCAACAACACAATTACTAAAAGCATTTTCCCCTTTGTTTGTAATTTAGAATATTTTGAAACATAGCTGTATTTGTGTTTTTGCTAGATTAATAAATTTAATACTGCGGAACCTATGATAAACCATTTTTTTTTTTAAATGGTGAAAAACGTCAGCACACACACTTGTTCCCTAAAGAGGGCTGTTTGACATATATCTTGATCTGAATGAAAGAATACTAGGGATAAATTACCTTGAGCATACATTGGAACACACATACTTTATATTAATACATACAATAGTATATAATATTTTTGAAAGGACTGAGCCACAAATTGGTTCTTTTATAGACACCTGTATATAATAACCCCATAAGTTGTGTGTGTATATATATGTCAGTATATGCTGAGTGCTAGCATGTCAGCTCAGACACACATGTCCATGCTGCTCAGGCAGTGCTGACTCTCCCATATGAGGAGGGCACTTCCTTCCCATTTTGGGGCAGGCGGCCCAGCGTTTGACTCCAGTGTCAGGATGAGCCGCCAGGGGGGTGGGGGCGCGGAGGCCCGGGAATGGGGAGGGGGCAGGCAGCTCCCAACCCGGGGGTACCAGGCCCAAGCCTCCCTGCACTCACCCTGCCAGGCTGACTGGGATTCTGGGAATGGCAGCTCCTTCTCTGGCACTCACTGAGAACGGCTGGTCTGCTGTAAGGCGGGACCCGTGGTTTAGTCCTGGGTAATCTCTGTCCGCTCTTCCTTTGGTGGATCCTCAAGCCCAGACGGCCACCATCTTACATTGGGGGTATACTGGTCTAGCAGTTGACTAGGAGTTAGTAGTGCGCATGCGCGGGGCGGGCAGCAGGAAGAACGAGGCCATTGCTGGCGATAGGGCCCAGGGCATGTCGGGAGTTGTAGTTTTCGGCACCCTTGAGGAATGTAATTGGAGTTACACAAAATAAACAATTTGCACTTATCTTATGCGCCTTAGATATGCTTGTTCAAACAACCTAACAGTATAATTCTGTAAAGTATTATAAGCACACATTAAAGCGGTTGTAGGGTAAATTTGAATTTCCACATAGGCCCCCAATGCAAAGCATTTCGGGAATTGTAGTTCAATGTTAGTATGATGCAACAGGACCGGTGTCCTATCAGAACTACAACTCCCAGTAGTACCCTGAGTGCCCGTTATCTCTCCAGTGTGTTTTCAGATATAAAAAAAATGTATATATAGTGTGTTTATAACAGCAAATAGCGCTTGTGTATGTGTGTGACGTTTGGGACAAGTAGAGTGTGTGTATAATCAGCGAGCAGTGTGAGAGTTTCCGGCATATTTGCGGGCAGCCCTAGTGAGGGTGGCGAGTTCCGGTTGGGAGGCTTGGTCCCAAGATGGCGGCGCCGTTGGCGGTAAATTCAGGTAAATCAAAATAAACCGATCGCGTGTATAGGGCAGCGATACATCTAGAGTGCGATCGGGTTAACTGAAGTAGTGATAAAGTTGTCATACAGCCGCCCTGACAGACTGCGAGCGAGCACCTTAGTAAATAACAGTACGCGCCCCCCATGTGGCTCTCTGCATGTCACAGCAATCAGTGACTCACGGAGCGCGATTACCCGGCGGCGGCGGCTGCAATCTGCATTCACACTAACCACCTCCTCGGTAACTAGCGGCGGCTCCCTCTCTCACACACACTGCCCCCAGTAATCTGCTTACACAGCAATGCACGGCGCTTTAACCCCTTAAGGACACCTGACATGTAACGATACCATTTTATTCCACAAGTTTGAGCCTTAAGGGGTTTAAACACATTCAAGTCTGTCGCCTTCAAACTTTAAAACACCAAACTGCTAGTAGAAGAGTCTGTAACTGCACCTTTTATATTAATATATATTAATGTAGAGGCCCTTGATCAATCGAGTTGTTGCATCCCAAACTGCATTCACAGAAACTACTCCAGGGTTACAGGCTGTCCTCGCTGATTACTTTTATAGGAACTCTCCTTGGAAGGAATGAAAGGCAGTCTAAGTCCCATCAGCACTACAATGGTGGTTGTGGTTCTAACGCTAGTAGGCTATTGGCACAGCCCCTCCTAGTGCTCGCATATTCATGCCCTGGTGAATTGCTTGCTGTACTGATAATGAGAACTTTACCCTTCCATACTAGCAGAATGTAATGTGGCACTATTTATATTAAAGTGTCAATTTCGTCCAAGTTAGAAAACTATTGGTAACATTACTATATCATATTTTAGCGGTTATGTTGCAGTGTCCATTAAACCTTATTTGCTAGGTGCATAACCTTTAAATACAATTTAAAATAACATTTATATTACAGAATTCCAAACAATACATCACTAAAATAACTCCCCAATCACCATAACCACTACAATTTTTAAGGGTACCAGTTGTGCCATGCCACGCTCCTAGGTTAAGTAGTCAAAGTGCCTATTCTTTGGTAACTTACTTGGGATCCCGGCTTCCAGGAGTGCTGGAAACTCTCTGCTATGATCTAGCCCAGGGGTGCGAGATTTGGCTCATTGGAGTACTCAGCTGATGCTCGTGGCCAGTGATCCGAACCTACACTGTTGGACTTAGTTAAGGGGAGCTAATAGAAGTTCTCTGCAGGACTTTCTGGCTCTCTTTTAGGCTGTGATCGGCATCCAGCAGTTCTCAGGTAAATTGTCCAATTGGCCTGAAACCTTCAGGTCTCCACAATTTTCTGATAGTTATCAGAGAGTGCCTTATTTACAGATGGCATTCAAAAAAGTACTCATAAAGGGATTAACAAAGAATGCCTGCTCTCTGATGACTTCACTCAGTAAGGAAGTGTCCTACATTGTAATTACAATAACTATTGTTATGATGTGTTAAAAGTTTCAAATTGACTAACTTTCAGAACCAGGCTTACCCTTTCTTGATTCAGTTGTAATCACTTCTCTGGAGGCCTTATTCATTATCTGCTCCCAAATTATAAACCAAGGTTATTTCTAACCATTCTAATACCTATGTGGAATAAACAATGCAATGTTGTGGTCTGGGTGACTAAAGGGTTCGCTTTTACATATATATATATATATATATATATATATATATTCCAAAATTAAGTGCACAGTGGCTTATTTTAACATATAATACAACATAAAATACTGTTTCCCTTTAAAACATAGAACTCCTAACTTCAGACTAGAGTCAGCTGCAAGTTTTAATGGTTAACCCATTTTCTCCCAGTACCTTGAATACTAATTTTGATTTAAATTTGTAATGCAATGCAAAATGAATTTAGCACATTAAGCCACCTTTAGTTTTCATTTGCTTCAGCAGTGGTAGTCACCCTAGAGAGAAACACGTTTATCTGCCAGAGCTCCTATGTATCAGCAGAGAGACTGTAAATGGTTATAACACCTTCCTTCCTCTGGTCAAGCTTCACGTGCACTCTCCTAGCCAGAGAAGTCTGATGATTGCTCTCCAAGCTCTTCGGAAGCAGCAGTGCCCAAATGCAGATATTCTGTTGTGTTTGGGTGGCTTATTTAGGAAGCTGCAAACTGTTTATTTACAAATAACAAATTACAAATTTGGCCATTATTATTTGTGTTTTTGTGACAAAAATAGTATTTCTACTCCTACGATAGTATTTCAGACCATGGCCTCAATCTTAATTCTTTCATGGCTTTTCAAATAATCACAATAAAAATTTCCGTACAATTTAAAGATACACTATAGAATTAGGAATACAAACATTACTGTTATCATCAAGGTTGAGATGAAGTGGTCTGATCATTTAATGGTGACTACTGTAGATAAAATAATTTTCAGTGGTTTCCTAAACAATTGCAATCACTTGAAACGCTTATCAAAATAATTACATTGAGTCCCATGTTTGAAATTTTTCAAGATAAGTGATATCACAGTCTCTAAAACATACAATTGATCCACTATATCTGTAATAAAATAAACATTTTTTATTTTTCATTTTTTTTAAAGGGTTACTCCAGGCCCCATGATCACATCAGTGATTTGAAATGGTCATGGTGCCTGTAGTGTGTATGTGTAGCAAACTGTTTTAAATGGGAAATGGTAACAGGGTACTCCATCATCATAACCCCTACATTGGGCTGTAATGATTATGCGGATTGGAGTAACCCTTTAAGTTTACATAATTTTAAAGAGGCAGTCACCTTTTGGATCTTTTAGTAATCTAACAATGTGACGGTATGTGTAGAGGTGGATGAGAGGAAAGCAGTTATTGTACTTAGCTTAACCCCTTAAGGACCAAATTTCTGGAATAAAAGGGAATCAAGACATGTCACACATGTCATGTGTCCTTAAAGGACCACTCTAGGCACCCAGACCACTTCAGCTTAATGAAGTGGTCTGGGTGCCAGGTCCAGCTAGGGTTAACCCATTTTTTTAATAAACATAGCAGTTTCAGAGAAACTGCTATGTTTATTAATGGGTTAAGCCTTCCCCCTAATCCTCTAGTGGCTGTCTCATTGACAGCCACTTGAGGCGCTTGCGTGCTTCTCACTGTGATTTTCACAGTGAGAGCACGCCAGCGTCCATAGGAAAGCATTATGAATGCTTTCCTGTGACCGGCTGAATGCGCGCGCAGCTCTTGCCGTGCGTGCGCATTCAGCCAACGGGGCGGAACGGAGGAGGAGAGAAGGAGGAGAGCTCCCCGCCCAGCGCTGGAAAAAGGTAAGTTTAAACCCCTTTCCCCCTTCCAGAGCCGGGCGGGAGGGGGTCCCTGAGGGTGCCCCCACCCTCAGGGCGCTATAGTGCCAGGAAAACGAGTGTTTTCCTGGCACTATAGTGGTCCTTTAAGGGGTTAAGCTGCTCCTCTTTGACACCTACATACTTTAGCTCCTGGTGGCTTAATCTGCCTAGAGCTGTGATCAAATTCACTACAATACCCTTGCATATGCATAAGAGTGCAAAAAGGGTCAATAGCGGATCCTCTGGAATCTTACCTAGATAGTCATGCACATGCATAATAAGGTGCTATGGTAATCTTTTGCACGTAATTTGTGATGATGCAAGTTTCCATCAGCTGTCGTGACCAAGTGTTGGTAAGAAATGGCTGTGAACGCCCTGCTTTTTTTTTTTCTTAAAAATCATGGATTGACAAATTCACTTTGAATCTAGGAGCCAACTAAAAAAGTTTATTTTTAATGACAAAAATACAATTCTGAAAGGGACACTAAAGTCACCAAAACAACTACAGCTTAATGTAGTGGTTCTGGTGTGTATAGCCTGTCACTGCAAGCTTTTCAATGGAAACACTGCTTTTTCAGTGTTTACATTCCTGCCTAGTAACACCTCTAAAAACTAAGAGTGGTAGAAGCAATTAAGGTGTCAACAGGACAGAACAGTTAGGGGGTAACCCGTAGAGATAAATTGAAAACAGAAAGGAAATATTCTGTCCGAGGCCAATAATAATATTAAAATGTAACTTTTAATAGGTTAAAGGATCACTATAGTGTCAGGAAACAAACTCGTTTTCCTGACACTATATAAACTTTAGGGCCCCCCCTCCCGCTGGGTTGAAGGTGTTAAAACCCCTTCAGCCACTTACCTTTATCCAGCGCCGGGCTCCCTCGGCGCTGGTGACCTCTCCTCCCCTGCCGACGTCAGCTCTCGAGTGCGTTCCTATGGACGTTCTGCACGCTGAATGCGATTTTCCCATCCAGCGTCGCAGAAGCGCCTATAGCGGCTGTCAGGAAGACAGCCACTAGAGGCTGGATTAACCCTGGAATGTAAACATAGCAGTTTCTCTGAAACTAATAATTTATGTCTGAAGGGATAAAACCTGGGGGACCTGGCACCCAGACCACTTCATTGAGCTAAAAGGGTCTGGGTGACTATAGTGTCCCTTTAAGAGGGTAGAAAGGAGTCTAGCTCTAATAAGATCACGCTAAGAAAAAATCAAAACCAAATTTGGGGGGTTGGGGGTATAAGTGGCTGAAGATAAGGGAAAATCTATACAGTTTAACAGCTGGTAATTTGTCTAAGAAATTCCTACAACAGAGGTAAAATAGCTGGTATTAAATCAAAAGTGTTGCCTAAAACAAGCTGTGGTATAACTATAGCAATGTTACCACAGATAAGTTTGGTAGGCAGCTGATAGATAAATGAGGTACAATGTTGCAGTAGCTCAACTGAACTAGTCAGGTGGAGACACTGTATCTCTATAGTCTGTTACTACAGAGAGCCTGAAGTCTATCAATAGTGTCCAGTGAAATATCCCAGTTATAAGATCACTTGACACAATGCTATCTCTAGTGTCAATAGCTAAAGTATACTACTGAGGGCTACCGAAGGGTACAAGAGCCGAGGGAGCCAAAGTATAGTATTATAATAGAAAGAATGTCACTGAAGTGTACCTCAAAATCGCATAATAATAGGAACCTAGAGAATAACCAGAGTTTAGCTAGTGCCGGTGCATAGATCCTAGGTGCCTCTTGAAATTCAATTGATCAAATGTCTGCAGTTTACAGCTACATAAAGGAGCCCCAGGGGCATCTTAGCCAGAGTACATGATCTCTAGCACTAGCTTAGGGTAAAAAAAGACAATTGCTAAAAATAAAACACAGTGCCCGGTGGTTAAATCATAGAATCTTGCCGGAATGTCACTATATCGACTGTGGCAAAATAGCTAAAGTGGGTGCAGAGAACTTTAGTGCCTGCACAAGCATCTAGTCTAGATGAGCGAATCTTTGCCTTCAAGGGCACCCAAGTCAGAACATCTGCTACACTCACCAGAGGTGATGATAGGAATTATGTAAATAGTGATAAACGTTGTCCGGTAGTTAGATAATTAGAATCCAACTGGACAATGCGTCTAAGTAGAGTACTGCATAAATAGAGGGGTCTGATAGCCCAGTGACAAATAGTCAATTGCTCAGATGTCTGCAGATTACAGGTACAGTTGGAGCCTCAACGCGCCTTTCGCCAGTGGGCGGTGGATGCAAAAAGGGTCAATAGCGGATCCTGTGGGATCTTACCTAGATTGTCATGCACATGCATAATAAGGTGCCATAGTAATCTTTTGCATGTAATTTTTGATGATGCATGTTTCCATCAGCTGTCGTGACCAAGTGTTGGTGGGAAATGGCTGTGGACACCCTGCTTTTTTTTTTTTTTCTTAAAAATCATGGCTTGACAAATTAACTTTGTATCTAGGGGCCAACTAAAAGTTTACTTTTAGTGACAAAAATAAAATGCTTAAAGGGACACTAAAGTCACCAGAACCACTACAGCTTAAAGTAGTGGTTCTGGTATGTATAGCCTGTCACTGCAAGGTTTTCAATGTAAACACTGCTTTTTCAGTGTTTACATTGCTGCGTAGTAACACCTCTAGTGGCAGTAACTCGGACGGCAACTAAAGTGCTTCCTGTCTCTGTGCTGCACCTACATTCCGCGTCTCCAAGCTCTGCATGGAGGTGCTGAACGTTTCCATAGTAATGCATCTCTATGAGGACATGCTGATTGGCACAGTATATTTGCGTGCATGCGCAGTAACCTCCTAGTGCTTGCCTATGGGAAAGCATGGGGGGGGAGTTGATTGCCTTTCTCAGGGGTCCAGTGGGGATGTTATCATTGGAGTTCAGTGGAGCTGCTGTCATCTTCCCACTCCTCTTCCTTGCACACCGTTTAGTGATGCTTGGGCATATGTGATGTCATATTTTGGCATCACCGCATGATGGAACAGAGCAAGTAGATTACAGCTCCCTCGCTGTCTCCATTCCTTACAGCCGGCCACCTGGCCACCTCAGGGGCAATGAGCAGACAAATTTGAAGGTACCAGGACAAATTTCTGCCACCTGGGATTTATCGAAGTTTTTCCTTTGTCTCCTATATCTTTTGAATATGTTGGATTTTCAAAGAAAGTTCTATGTTTGTGAAAAGCTCAAAAGCGACTGAGCTAAACTAAATGCTAAGTTGCTGTTTTATATGATGTCCATTCTAAATATAATTGTTTATTGTAGCTCTGCATATCTTTTTGTTTGCAATGATTAATCAAAAGCTTATGATGAAATCATTGCTTTAGTGAACTGTTAATTTTATTCCCATTTCAGCGGCTAGCCTGTGGGGTCCATACAAAGACATCTGGCAGACTGTGGAAAGTGCGCTGTTGAAGAGACAACCTGAAGCTGCACATTTACTGGACCTGGTATTAAAGAAGTATAAACCACATTTCATCGCTCTCTTCAAAAATCCAGTATGTCTTAATTTAATCTTACTAAAATGTGTAACTGTACTGCTTGTTTAATTTCTTTATGTTATTAAATATTTGGAGAATATTCACTAAACTGAATAAATAGCGAAGCTGAAATAGCCAAACTGTAACTATAGCTAATTTGCTAAAATATTTTATATTTAAAGGCACATGTAGTGCCCAACACTGGGAGAAAAAACTATTTATAAAAAAAATTAAAAATTCTCCCAACTGTCAGTTAATTATTTAGCATATACTCTATTCCAAAAAAATGATTAATAAAGGAGAACAGAAGCAACATCCCACAGAAGCTCTGAACCCATAGCCACTATGTAATATGCACTATGGAAACTTTAGAGCCAACACTGCTAGTGCTGGTTATGGAGTATAGGAACAGAGTAAAATGATGTCACTCCATTAGACACCAGCATGCTGAAAATGAAGCCATCACTGAGATGTTCTGTACTGCTTGGGGAAGTATCCTCAAGCTTGGCAAATCCGTGAACAGGAGAGTGGGCAGACTGGGGATTGGTGTTGCAGAAATGTAACACTCCCCCTCTGTAAGTTGAACGCTGCGGGGTTGTGGAGGGTCAGGTAAGTGATTACAGGTTCTCTTTAAGACTCAGTGTTGGTATTCAGATTTAATGCTCTGAAATTTAGTTTAGTGAATAACCATGTAAATGTCCATACTTTTTATTTTTATTATTTTACAGTTTTATTTAATTCAGATCGAAGCTTAATATAATTTCTGTACATACCAGTATATTATAAAAAAAATCTGTATAAAAGTAATAACCAGAGTGTTGTTTTAGATATCCTTCAAGTTAGTTTCGAAAAAAAAGATACAAAAGTGAAAAAAAATCGAAACAATAAAAACTAACTGAAAATTTTATAAGAGACCCTTTTATGTCACATTTTTGAAGATTATGTATGAATATAGAGGATGAAACTATAAGCCAAATGTTATATAGGCTAGAAAATAGAGCCAAGTCCATCAAGCTTCCAATTTGCAATGGGAAAAAAATCCTTCTTGAAATGCAAATTGTAGTTCAATTTCTTCATGCTGTTACCTAACATATTATCTATAATATCCTTGAATATTCTGTTTTTCCAAAAATTAGGTATTGCTCCTCTTATGTCCAAGAAAGATATCAACCAGTAAGGTCTGTAGTACATCTCTTTGAAAAATGAGGTGCGCAGGTGCGCTCTAGCCCTACATCGGAGTGGCAACCAATAAGGTGTTTCACCCCCCAAGTTTTAAAAGTGATAATTAAAAAAAAAAAAAAAAAACAGACTCAAGACACCTAAAGCACTACAGCAAGCTGTAAGTGCCTTGAGTGTTAATTTAATAAAAGTCTTTAATTCAAGTTTCTTGTATAAACATACACATGACCCTTTCCTTTTCTAAAGGAAGCTTTTAACAGGAGCTTCCATCTCTCACTTCTGCTTGTGGGGAGCAAACTGTATAACCTAGTTAGGTAATAAGACAATTCTAAATGGTTTTACTATTTACAGGGGGGCACTTCTGGCACCATAACCACTTTAACACACTGTTGTAGTTTTAATGCTTGGACTGCTCCTTTAACCCCTTAAGGACACATGACATGTGTGGCATGTCATGATTCCCTTTTATTCCAGAAGTTTGGTCCTTAAGGGGTTAAAGGAACACTCAGTGCACCATAACAACCTAATCTTAATGGACTTGTGATGGTACGTGGAGGTCACGGGCGCCACCTTGCCTTCAGGGGTTGTAACTATTGGTGAACGGTGTAAATCCAAATTCCTCAGTTCGACACCTGTTGGCTCTGCCTCTTCACTTCCTTTCAGTCTGAGACTTTCATCAAGAAGCCTCAGACCAGGGTGCTGCTGAGAGCATCAGCTGGCAAACTCAGCCTATCAGTGGCACCCCTGACCTAGACTTCCTGATTGCAGCCTCAAACTGAAAGAAAGTGAAGAAGCAAAGCTGACCAGTGTCAATCTAAAAACAATATGTATAGACGTTTTTAGTATACGAGTTGGTCACAATTTGCACATTCACTCGGCACTGCTCATCTTACATGGTTCTCTTTTTTAAACAACTAAACTAAGCAATATGAAGCTGTATTCTTTTTCTGGGGTATGCCGAAGTTTAATACTATATTTTTTTATTCTCATTGTAGCCAAAGAGCGCCCAACAGCATGAAAAGATTAAGAAAGCCAGCACAGAAGGCATTGCCATTAAAGGGCAGCAGGGCACCAGGCCGCTCCCTGAGCAGCTCATTGCGGAGTCTTTTATCCTTAGTGATTTGTTCAACATCGGAGAGGTAGCAGCTGTGGAGCTACTGCTTGCAGGTAATAAACATGTGATATTCAAAGGGAGAGAAAAAAAAATAAGAGAAGCACCTCATGTAATTAATATGCTTTTCTATTTTATTTGACTTGGAAGTGGAACACAAACGTTTTTGTTTTTGGAAATAGATATCGATGTGAACAATGGTTTGTTTTTTTTGTTTTTCACACTAGTCTGTAATCTTACAGCCTATCCCTGACACATTGTCTTAAGCATTTTCTTGAAATGCATATCTATCTGTTGTTTTTGAAGCCTGTAGTAAAACTATCAGACTTTTATATATTAGTCGAGGGCCGCAATGGAAATAACTTATTTACAACTTGAACACTAATTATGTTTACAGAAAAATTTGTTGTAAAATGGAGCAATCATCAGGAACATTCCATTTGTTTCCATGGTGACCTCTTGACTTTTAGTAGTCCTAGAATTGCTGTTTGTTCGTAACTCCCACTGTGTTCAAATCTTAACAGGTAGTATTATTATTTTTAAGGTGAACACCAGCAGCCTCGTTTTCCAGGTCTGACACGAGGTTTAGTAGCAGTTCTTCTTTACTGGGATGGAAAGAGATGTATTGCAAATTCCTTGCGCACTATAATCCAATCACGGAGAGGCAAGACCTTTACTATGGAACTCAGGTACTGTTGTTGTTTATCTCATTATATATGTACATGTATCTCACTAGTTAGAGCTTTGATTGTGATTGTTAAACCCTATAGCCCAGTTTTTTATTGCATAGCGGTTGTTTGCAAGCCATTATTTCATTGATTGTAGATTTTAGAACAGAATATAAAACACTGTCTGCTAAAGTTTTCTTCCTTTTGTCACTCTTTGTTGTTTTCAGTCCAGAGCTAGTGTCCATGGCAACCCGCTTCTCTGATGAATTGATGGAGAATGGACTGACTCATAAAATCCTCGACCTGGTTTCTCAAATTGATGTTAACAATGAGTTTGAGAAGCTGCAGAAGGACCGAGGCCTGGGCAATGAGAAACATCGCAAAGAGGCAAGACAGCAGGGGCGTGGGGGGAAACTTTCTACACTGAGGAAAAATGTTGGTTTATACATCAACATACATGTTCTGCACATTTTTTTTTCCCATGTATTAAATGGTGCTGGTCCAGGAGGCTAATTCTCTGTGCCAGTACATGAGCTTGTTGAGCTTTGCTGTTGGTAGTACGATATAATCTATGTATAAATTGTGTTGGTGAAATACTGGGAAACATGTAGACGTGATATTATTCCTAATAGGCACTGCATGCCACCACTTTGGGTGCTATTATTGCCCATTTTCTAAAATCACAGACTTTTGCTTTCACCCTGTGTGTTTTTATTTATTTCATTTCTATATGTTTGCATAGTTCAGGGCTTGACAAATTTGCTTGGAATCTAGGAGCCAGCAAAAAGTTAGGAGACAGGTTTTCAATGTCAAAAAAACAATTGTTAAAGGGGCACTATAGTCACCAGAACAACTACAGGCTAATGTAATTGTTCTTGTGTCTATAATTTGTCCCTGCACATTTATTTACATTGCTACCTTGTAACACTTCTAGTGACAGTCACTCAGACGGCCTCTGGAGTGCATCCTATAGCGTTTCCACCCCCCGCACTAAGGAGATGCATATTGGCGCAGCATGGCGTTTTGCCACATATGCGCAATAGCCTCCCAATACTTTCCTATAGGATCATCAAGATCGCAGTCATAGAGGCAGGGCCAGCCGCTGTGAGATCAGTGCAGCGTGGGGAAAAAGGTGAGTTAAAAACCTCTTTCCCATGTGATTGGAGGGGGACCAGTCATCTAAACACCCCACCCCGGGGCTTCAGTAATCTAAACCTTGAATTTGCACTATATGTCTGTTTAGGCGTAAATCACCTCTTTCATATTATGTGCACCCACACTTATCATCTATTGTTTAGGAGAAATAGGGCTTTCATGTCACATCAAATATTTGTATATTAAACATAATTTAATATGAATAAAATATAAAAAAAATGAGAAATTGAGAAAAAAAAATTTGTTTTGCTTGGCATTTTAACTGTAAATGTCACAATACTGTTAGGTGTTACTGCAATAAAGTACACATATTTGTATTCAGGGATGTCTCACAAGTAAAACAGTCCCCCCAATGTACAAGTTTTATGGTGTTGTGGAAAGTTACAGGGTCAAATATAGCACATTACATTTTTCAGTTTATACACATTGAAATTTGCCAGTCTGGTTATGTTGCCTTTGAGACCAAATGGTAGCCCAGGAATGAAAATTATCCCCATGATGGCATACGATTTGCAAAAGTAGACAACCCAAGGTCACAAACACTGGCCAAAGTTAGCTTTCATATTTGTTGTGTGTGAAAAATGCAAAGAAACTAAATTGACCACTAATTTTGGCCAGTGTTTGTGACTAAGTGGCTACTAAAAGAGACTGGAGATATACCCCATTTGCAATACCTTGGGTTGTTTACTTTTGCAAATGGTATGCCATTATGGGGGTAATTCTCATTCCTGGGCTACCATACGGTCTCAAAGGCAACGTAACCAATCAGGCGAATTGCAATGTGAAAAAAATGAAAAATTTAACATGCTATATTTGACCCTGTAACTTCCCAAAACACCATAAAATCTGTACATAGGGGGTACTGTTTTACACGTGAGACTTCGCTGAACACAAATATTAGTGTTTCAAAATAGTCAAACATATCACAAGAATTACAATTTAAAAAACAAAAAAATTTTATTTTTTCAATTTTTTAAATTATGTTTAACATCATTTTAAGTGTAATTTCATATTAATATATATTATTAAAATACACTTTTATTAATGATGTGGGTGGGGGCGCGGGCGGATTGGGCAAAGGGCGACTGCCTGAGCAAACAGGCAGACCCCAGGATCGCAACTGCCTGCATGGGAACGTCGGGGACCCGGTAAGTAAGAAGAACGGCGGGGACGTTCTATGCTGTCGGTCAACGTTTAGGCCTTAAGGGGTTAAAGGAAACACTCAAATATTCTAATATATGTTTGCTTTTATTTTAAATAGTAAATAATATGCCAGTTTAAGACAGATTTATTTTTAAATATAGTATATGATATGTTCTGACTTTCTTTTCTCTCCAGGTTTCTGACATGATAAAAGAGTGTCGTCAGTCTCTTGCTGAAAGCCTCTTTGTTTGGTCCTGCCAGTCTCCACTTTCCAAAGATGATACACTACTTTTGATTATGCACCTGGAGAAAGTCACAGTGGAAGCTGATGGTGCATTGGACAGTGTAAACCTAACCCTTTTAATGGCTCTTCTATACTGTTTAGATGTTGGGTTTTTGGAACAAGCGACCGATGACCGAGCAGGTAATACTTCTCTCTCATCAGTAGATTGAGATAATGTCAATTTTTTTGTTTCTTTTTTCAATTAACAAATTTTGTGATGACCCGAAGTTCACTTTCTTTCAGAGCTTGCTCCTATTTTTTGTGAATAAGCAAAGCTTTGATCTTGTAAGAGCTGTTACTTGGCTTTATTCAGGAAAACCATGAGTAAAGCGAAGTGTCTGGTGTACAATTGAACTGTTGCTACCTGTAAACTTATTCTTCATAGGTGATTATAGTGCTCAGCACTCCTAGCAAACACAATAGCAGCACCCTAATCTCTTTTATTTCTCTTTAATAGGTATGCTGTTCAAAGCTTGTTTTGTTGTACATGTTAAAAACTATTCTAAACATAAAACCAACCCAATTGATGTTATGGGCAATAGCTCTTACATAGACACTTTGACTTCAAACCTATGATTTCCCTCACCCTTACTTAGATTGAGAGTAATCGAAGTAAGGGTGAGAGTAAGCATCATAAGAATGACTGACACATTGTTTTTTAATACATTAAAATATGTTTTAAAATCTGCAAAATCATGCAATCCAAAATATATATTTTTTTCAAAACTACTTATTTAAAGCTTTTGAATGTTGCCTTAAGCCATCAACAGGACATGGCTTGACCAGTCCAGGGCCTCTTATTTTGGTCTGTAGAGTCTGAACTATTAGGCTGTCAACCAAGCATTGCAAAGGTACCAAGAAGAATGATACTATAAATTAAATTAGAAATTGCCTTGTCTTGGTCTTTTTTGCAGTATTTTGTAAACCCTCTTGCACCTAATGTACATGGTGAAGTGTTTTCAACTTTATTTCCCTCTCCTCCTCATTTAGAATTGATTCAACAAACAAATCTCACAGAAAAACAGTACATTGCTGCCATCCACACCCGCCTGCAGGACAGCCAGCAGTGGAAATCTCCAGGCTTGCAAGCCACCGTTCGATTGGCGTGGGCTCTCACCCTGCGCGCAGTATCCCAGTTACTGGAAGTCACAGGTATATCAGATGAAAAAAACGTTAGATGGCAACAGATCATACTAATGATTTGCACATAAAAGCGCAAACTATTTCAAGGTATCCCATATTGGTGAGTCATCAACTAATTTTAGAATGACAGGAAAATATGCCTCAGGCTGCTGTGAACATGTGCATTTGGTATGTTGCATAATCAAATATATTTTAGTTTGTGTATATATCACATAATATGGAGCCAGTGTACTGATTGGCGTTAGCTACATTTGATCAGTCACAGGTCTACAGCGTAGCTACCTTTCACTGCTTATTCTTTTACTATGGCCTTTTAGCTTGAGATGGGCATATAACCTAATGAGGATGTTAATCCATTATTTTTGCTTGCATTGAAGTCCATCTCAAACTGTTCTTGCCGATGACAATGTCATTTTTTAACAGAATTCACATTAAGTTTTGTGTGCTGGGGATCTAACTTGTGCAGATGAATTTGTATGTATGGAGTTTCAAGCAGAAACGTTGCACATACCAATTCCTTCCACCATTACCACTTCAAAACACTGAAGTTGTCCTAGAATAGACTGTAAGCTCAATTGAGCAGGGTCCTCTTCAACCTATCGTTCCTGTAATTTTTCTTGTAATTATCCTATTTATAGTTAAATACTCCCTCTTATTATATTGTAAAGCACTATGGAAAATTGCCGCTATATAGATGGCAATAACAATAATAATGGTGGTTGGAGCAACTCTTTAATTTAATATGCATGTTAGACCAAAAATAATGATCCCTCTACACAAATAACTGGGACAGCTTTGCACTAAACTGTTATAATTTTCCAACCAATACTTCAGGTGTGTGATTGCAGTGGTGTAAAAAAATGTTCTATACTTTAACTTAAAGCTTTTTTTTTTTTTTTCTTTTTTTTTCATTACCTCTGGCAGAATTTACAGAAGCAGACGAAGGCATGGCAGAGATGGCTATAGTTGGAAATGTCTTCCTTTTCCTCACTGAGGCTGTTGTGGGATCAGAGAGCTTCCATCAGGAGGAATTTTTCATTCGCAGGATACATAAACTGATCACTGATTTCCTCACTCTAATGCCCATGAAAGTAAGTTCCCATTATGCATTTGTCTTAACACTTGCTTTCTGTCATGCACAGGAAATTCAAATGAACTGTACTTCACTCTAATCTGTATGGTGCCAGTGCAGAGGGAGCAGGTGCACTGTTACCATGCACCATGTAAAGAAGAGATCTGAAACTCTACCAGGCTACCAGATGTTGATGATCTAAAATACCCAGAATTCTTTGAATTCAGTAGGTGGCCAGAGAAAATCACATTTCACTAAAATATTAGCTCTATAACATATGGAAACCCACCGCTGCAGATGCTAGTTTGTGAATTTTTGTTGTGGAACCATGGAAAACCTGCTCATAAGCTGTATTTTGACAACATTCTCAAGAAATCCTCTGACCCTGTAGGAACGGTTTACAAAGTACTTTTAGATGTAGGACTCTTGATAGTTCAAATTAAATGTTTGCAATATTTGCAACTCGTCAGAGGTAAACAGAAATCTAGTTGAAGTGTAAGCTCAGTTATTAATTGGAACCTCAAAGCTTTAAAGGCCTAATATACATTTTTCCCACATTAGGTGAAGCAGTTAAGAAATCGAGCGGAAGAGGATGCCAGATTAATCCATATGAGCATTCAAATGGGCAATGAACCTTCTACATCACTGCATCGAGATCTTGAGCACCTCATGTTACTGGTAAAATCATATTCTCAACCTCCTAGAACTGTTCCTGCTTCAGGTGTTATGTATATGTAGAATACATTGAAGAGGGTGTATTATGTATATGTGACCTTACTCTGGCTGCTCACATGTTCCTTTTTGCATGATGTAGCCAGCGAGGCACAAATCAAGATGAGTTATTCTGAAAGTCATTTGGCAGTGGATGTACTCTCACTAGGAGCAGTGCCATTGTTATTCAAAATATGGGAACATGTGCCCTCTTTAAAGGAGATATATAATTGTTTTGTCCAGTTCCTGAAGGTTCTTAAACAGGGATTGTCACATGACAACTCTAGTTGTTATCAATGAGTTGTTTGAAATTGTAATTTATTTTTTTTAATTTGCATTCTATGTATGGCTATTCTGGCACAGTCAGAGCATACCATGTAAATTAAGTTAACCCTCATGGTGTAGTTGGGGTGCATGCATGTGTTTGGCAATTTGGATGACATGACCGTGTGCGTGCACTTGTATGACATTTCTCAGAAGATGCAGAGACCATAATGGTGTAATCATGCACTTTAGACATTAACAATCTATTAATTGTTGTGGTGCTATTATAGTTAAAGGGACACTATAGTTACCCAGACCACTTCAGATCAATAAAGTGGTCTGGGTGCCAGGTCCCTCAGGTTTTAACTAGAGGCGCATCTGTGACGCTGGAGGCATATTTATGCCTCCATCACGCAGAGCGTACATAGGAAAGCATTAAGAAATGCTTTCCTATGGACACTATGAATGCACGTGCGGCACTTGCTGTGCATGCGCATTTGGCTCCGTTGACGTTGGCGGGGGAGGCGAGGTCACCAGCGCCGAGGGAGCCCGGTGCTGGAATAACCCCTTAAGCCCACGGAAAGGGGACCCTGAGGGTGGGGGCACCCTCAGGACACTATAATGTCAGGAAAAGAGTTCGTTTTCCTGACACTATAGTGATCCTTTAATATTGGAACATGCATCACTTTGAAACAACCATTCAAAATCTTTAGCTTTGAATGAGACCGTTGCCTCACTCTGCAGACAGAAAAAAGCAGGTAAATACACTGAACAAAATTATAAATGCAACACTTTTGGTTTTTGCCCCCATTTTTCATGAGCTGAACTCAAAGATCTAAGACTTTTTCTATGTACACAAAAGGCATATTTTTCTCAAATATTGTTCACAAATCTGTCTAAATCTGTGCTAGTGAGCACTTCTCCTTTGCTGAAATAATCCATCCACCTCACAAGTGTGGCATATCAAGATGCTGATTAGACAGTATGATTATTCTAAAGGTGTGCCTTAGGCTGGCCACAATAAAAGGCCACTCCAGAATGTGCAGTTTTATCACACAGCACAATGCCACAGATGTCACCAGTTTTGAGGGAGCGTGCAATTGGCATGCTTACTGCAGCAATGTCCACCAGAGCTGTTGCCCGTGAATTGAATGTTCATTTCTCTACCATAAGCAGTCTCCAAAGGTATTTCAGAGAATTCGGCAGTTCATCCAACCAGCCTCATAACCGCAGACCACGTGTAACCACACCATCCCAGGAACTCCACATCCAGCAACTTCACCTTCAAGGTCGTCTGAGACCAGCCACCCGGACAGCTGCTGCAACAACAATCGGTTTGCATAACCAAAGAATGTCTGCACAAACTGTCAGAAATAGTCTCAGGGAAGCTCATCGGGGTCTCGACCTGACTGCAGTTCGTCATCGTAACAGAATTGAGTGGGCAAATGCTCACATTCAATGGCGTCTGGCACTTTGGAGAGGGGTTGCACTGTACAGGGCAGATGGCAGACAGCGTGTATGGCGTCGCGTGAATGATCGGTTTGCTGATGTCAACGTTGTGGATCGAGTAGCCCGTGGTGGTGGTGTTATTGTATGGGCAGGTGTAGGTTATGGACAATGAACACAAGTGCATTTTGAATGCACAGATATACCGTGACGAGATCCTGAGGCCCATTGTTGTGCCATTCATCCACGACCATCACCTCATGTTGCATCATGATAATGCACGGCCCCATGTTGCAAGGATCTGTACACAATTCTTTGAAGCTGAAAACATCCCAGTTCTTGCATGGCTAGCATACTCACCGAACATATCACCCATTGAGCATGTTTGGGATGCTCTGAATCGGCGTATACGACAGTGTGTTCCAGGTCCTGCCAACATCCAGCAACTTCGCACAGCCATTGAAGAGGAGTGGACCAAGATTCCACAGGCCACAATCAACAACCTGATCAACTCTATGCGAAGGAAATGTTTTGCACTGCATGAGTCATATGGTGGTAACACCAGATACTGACTGGTTTTCGTAACCCTACGGACTCCACAATACTGTAAAACTGCACATTTTAGAGTGGTCTTTTATTGTGGCCAGCCTATGGCACACCTTTGCAATAATCATGCTGTCTAATCAGCATCTTGATATGCCACACCTGTGAGGTGGATGGAATAGCTCCGCAAAGTGGAAGTGCTCCCTAACACAGATTTCGGCAGATTTGTGAACAATATGTGAGAGAAATAGGCCTTTTATGTACATAGTAAAAAGTCTTAGATCTTTGAGTTCAGCTCATGAAAAATGGGAGCAAAAACAAAAGTGTTGCATTTATAATTTTGTTCAGTGTCTGAATTAAAAAAAGAAATCTTATTTACTTGCTTTTTTTTTTTTTTTTCTTTCCATACCTACTGGGTTAGGGGGCACTGATCTAACCATTAGTATCCTATCCCTAGGAATGCTGGGATTACTGACAGTTACACGTGGGAAGCTGGAATATCTTTCACCTTGCAACATGGGGCAGAAGATAGACATCCTAATGATCAGTGTGATCAAAAAGAGCAGGTTCCAGAGTCAGATTTCTCTCCCCTGCTGTTGCACAATGAGGCAGTTATTAGTGGACTAGTCTGAAACTGAGATGGATAGGCAAGAGGGAGGTGGGTTGAGGAGCCTTAAGAAACTCTGCTTTCTGAGCGGTTTGCCCAATAATGCAATCTGATCAATTTTAAAGTAAGTTTTATAAATATCACATACTCAAAGTTTTTCTTGCTTTGTTTTGGTTTTATATTTATTTAAAAATGTTTGCTTGCTGGTTTAAAAAAGTAATTGTAAAGTTGTGCATGCCACTTTAACAGTAAGGGTAGAACAGAGACACTCATTGTTAAAGCAGCTCTGTCACCCACCACCTCATCAGTATTTCATAATGATAAAATCTTTATGAAATACTCCCTGATATTTCTATGCGGTCAAAAGGTATACGCAGACAATATTGGGACTACTTTGTCTTAGTATTGTTCTTATTCTTGATAACACTTGAGAAAGGACAGAGTTACCTTTGTCAAGTTTTGTCATTCCCATGCCGGCTGTAGAGAAAAAGGTTCTGTGTCGTAGTATCCTCACTTTTGTACTCTCAAGCATGTGCTAGAGTACATCACTGACGTGGGCTCATGAATGCTGAAGAACTAGTAATTGAAGAGTACTTGCAAGAAGACTTTGGCGGCTGCCTCAAGAAACCGCTTCTGGTAAGTATAACTTACCTTCCACTGCACAACTTGGGACACCCAGAGGAGCAGTCACCAATGGGGAAAGAAAGGGGGTGTCTTTACAAATTATGCAACGACTACAGGCTGGAACAGAGCTGCTTTTAATAACTGTAAATTTAAATATCTATGTATGGATTTATATATATCTTTTTGTGTCTTGACATTAGCTTGCATACTCTGTTACTGATAACAAGTGGTAGTAATGTATTTTACTCTCTAACCCTGGCAGATTGGCTCAACATACAAGGATGACCCCTTTCATCTTGAACTGGCTTTAGAATACTGGTGTCCTGGCGAACCTCTGCAGACTACAACCATTATGGGTTCTTACCTCGGTGTTGCTCACCATAGGCCTCCACAGCGCCAGGTATGTGTTTTGATTTAGGCAGTTTTCAGTGATTTCTTAAGAAATCTTATGTACAGTCAGATTCTGTTTCTTGTGAAAACGTGTATACACTGATCAGCCATAACATTAAAACCAATGACAGGTGAAGTGAATAATATTAATTATATCAATACAATGGCACCTGTCAAGGTTTAATATAATAGGCAGCAAGTGAATGGTCAGTACTTTAATTTCATGAGTTGGAAGCCTGAAAAATGGGCAAGTGAAAAGAACTGAGGAACTTTGACAAGGGCCAAATAGTGATGGCTAGGTGTCAGAGCATCTCCTAAACGGCAACTCTGGGGTGTTCCCGGTATGCAGTGGTAAGTACCTAACGAAAGTGGTGCAAGGAAGTACAATCGGTGAACCGGCATGTGACGAACTCACTACTTGTCATATTCTAAGGACAGTTCCCTTCTAGTTCGTGTTATAAGTTTCCCTGAACACTTATAAGTTTCTTCAGTTTGGCAGCTGCAATCTACTGAACACCGACCACCCACATGGCTCATTAACTACAAACCAACCATATACTTAAGTGCTCTCTGTGTGGCCGCCGTTCATATAACCGAACAACACATGCTGTGGAAAACGGCGGCCATCTTGTCTCACGAACGCAGGCAACGGGACTTGGTCGTCGAGCGTATGGAACTCAGTCGGATACATCCACGTGCAAACCTCTATGATCTTGCATCAACGCCTGCTTCTGTTCTGTTGCTGTTAGGTAGGAGACGAGCAATCACTACCTATGAGCAAGGAAAACCAAAAGTGACCGACTGTTACTACTTTTTCTCTTGAACTAATTTGGGCACACGCCATACGTGCGGTTGGTCAAAACTTTACCCCGGTGGCGATTCGGTTGTATTCGTGGGATCTGAGTGCTATTTGGACACTGTGAGCACTCAGATCCTGGCTATCAGGGGTTATAATACTTGTGGGGGTTCCTATATGTGTTATGTGTATTTTGGGGTGTTTTTGGATAATATTTTGTACCTCTATTGCCTGGGCGATAATTGGTTAAAGCAAATGCAGGCTCTCATCTTCCAGACACAGAGGTGCCTGGGCGGGCTTATTGTACAAGTGAATGGAGACCCCTTGCTAGAGGTCTGTGTATTTAAACAGGCCACTGGGCCATAATTATTATTACTGGCATTTATAAAGCACCAACATATTCTGCAGCGTTGTACAATTGGGAAAAAGACAAAATAAAAACATACCAATACAATAGGTAGAGAACCCTGCCCGTGAACAATCTAAAACATTCTTCTTGTACCCTTCATCAAGTCTTGGCTGATGTTTGGGTGTTTGATGTTTGGGTCTCTAATAATATGAAACTATTTCACCTCAGGACTCGGGAGATTTAAAACAGATATAATCAGTTGGAGTATGGGGGATCCGTTACACAGCATCAGTGTCATGGCGCAAGGCTCATTGATACTCATGGGAAGCGAAGGCTAGTACATCTGGTCCTATCACACTGAAGAACCACTGTAGCTCAAATTGCCGTAAAGCTAAATGCTTGCCATGATAGAAAGGTGTCAGAATACAGTGTATTGCAGTTTGCTAGATATGGATCTGCATAGCCGCAGACCGGTCAGAGTACCCATGATAACTACTGTTCAGAGCCAAAAGCACTTTCAATAGGGACGTGAGCGTCAGAACTTCACCATGGAGCAATGGAAGAAAGTTGCTTTGTCTGATGAATCCACTTTTCTTTTACATCAGGTGGATGACTGTTAATAGCTCCCGACTGATTCCTCTTCTGCAACTGTCATTACTATCCTTACCTTTTTGTGTCACTTTACCCCACTCCCTCTAGCGCGTAAGCTCATTGAGCAGGGCCTTCAACACCTCTGTTCCTGTGTGTCCAACTTGTCTGGTTACAACTACATGTCTGTTCGTCCACCCATTGTAAAGTGCTGCAGGAGTTGATGGCGCTATATAAATAACATAATAATAATAATGACTGGGTGCTTTTGTGCTTTTTTTTTTTTTTTTTTTTTTTTACTTGGGAAGAGATTTTAACAGGATGCACTATTGGAATAAGGCATGCCGGCAGAGGAAGTGTTATTTTCTGGGCAATGTTGTGCTGGGAAATCTTTGGTCCTGGCATTTATGTGGTTGTTACTTTGTCACGTGCCACATATCTAGAGATTGTTGCCGACCTCGTACAGCACTTCATGGCAATGATGTTCCCTGATGGCAGTGGTCTCATTGAGCAGTATAATGCACCCAGCTTCACTGAAAAAATTGTTCAGGAATGGTGTGAGGATCGTGACAGTGTCCAAGGTGTTGCACAGCTTGTGCAAGATATTAACATAGTTAATCACTGTCCTGGAATATTTACGGTATGGGTAAAAGACAGGTGGGGAGGTTTCTCTTCCTTGTTGTCTTCAGGTTAAATCTGGGTTCTGGAAACCAACTTCCAAAAAGTGACTTTCGTGATATCACACTAGTAAAAATACAATAAAAATATTACAATCTTTTAAAGAAAAAAATAAATAAAAAAAGAATTATAACTGAAATAAAATCAGATGTACACATTTACAAAGATGGATGGTGTTTGCTTTACTGGTCACTAACAATCGATTTAAAAAATGTTTGTTTTTTTTTTTTAAATTATTTCCATCAAATCATTAATCACTTTCCGGTTTCAGATCGTGTTGTCAAAGTTTGTGAGACAAATGAGTGATCTTCTTCCTGCCACTCTTTACATACCATATCTAAAGATGCTTCGGAGTCTGTCCAGTGGGCCGCAGTGTGCGCATTACTGCTTTGGTCTTCTAAAATCCAATGGTGGTGGTCATGGTAAGAGTTACAATGAAAAATGCAAACTATGCACAACATAGAATGCCACATGGTCTTTTAGTATCAGTAATGTAATGGTTCAGCAGGCATTTAATCCCAAATTGGGAAGGCAAACACACACTGTTGAACTTGTCTAATAAGTCATTGTTGAAGGTACAGGGGACCATTCATTACTTTGTTCTGCATTACCTTGTGAGTAATGAGCTGTAGACCCTTGTAGAGGTATGTGTGTTCTCACTGTTATCTATACTTTGCTACGTTACTTGGAACTGGGCAACCTTTGACTCCCAAATATGCAGGTTTTTTTTTTTTAACAAGTTCATGAAGATAATTATAGGATTAGTTTTTAATCTGTGCATATGTTAAAACTTTGTTAAATTCTAGTTTTTTGGAACTGGTAAATTTGAAAAATAAAACTTACAGAACAAACTAATATTTCAATATTTAAACAAAGGGAATGTCACTTAAAAAAACTAATTTAAGGCCTGTTTAGCCTGCAACTTGGCGCTTTCATATTCGTTCTCTATCAGCCATTGTTATAAGCTGCTTTCTTTGCACCTGGTAGTTGGCATAGAGAAAGCCTAGACAGAAGAGGTAAAATGAAACAGTGGTGTTATGTATAAAATGTTTTGTGTTCTGTGAAGCACTAGAATTGTAAAGTGCTGCAGAAAGATTTGGTCACCATCCAAACCAATGAAACCAGCATTGATGACTCCTCTTCTTTTCAATGTTTGCTCCTCATGTTTCTTTTGTTTTTCACCTTTTTGTAATGTTTTCTGTCTTTTATCTTGTCTGAACTGCTTGATGTAAAGCAATTTTTTTCAATGTGGAATAAGCAAGCTTAAAAGTTAAAGTGACACTATAGTCACCAGAACAACTACAGTTTAATGTAGTTGTTCTCGTGAGTATAATAGCTCCCTTTAGGTATTTTCATGTAAACTGTTTACATTTACATTGCCCCTAGGGACACCTCCAAGTGGCCACTCTTAGATGGCCACTCCTTAGATGGCCACTGGAGGTGCTTCCTGGTTCAGGGCTGCACAGTAAGCATCCCTGCGTTTCAGCATCCCCATGCTCTGCGTGGAGATGCTGAATTTACCTTATAGAGATGCATTGATTCAATGCATCTTTATCAGGAGGTCCTGATTGGCCAAAACTGCATTTGGCTCCGCCCCTATGCCGATTTTAGCCAATCCAATGCTTTCCCTATGGGAATGCATTGGATTGGCTAACAATCTGCTATTTTGATGTCACAAAGGGTCCGCGGCGCTGGAAATAAGGTGAGTTTTTTTTAAACTTTTATAGGGGTGCTAAGGTGGGACATGCCACCTAAATGGTGGGTTTAGAACCATAGGGTCAGGAATACTTGTTTGTGCTCTTGGCCCTATAGTGATCCTTTAAAGTTTTGAACATGTCCATTACAACATAAAGCGCCTAGAGAACAAAATTGTGCACAGCAACAGGATTTTCACTGATGTGGGCATTGCTCAGAATTCAAAGTGACGTTCAACTTTTAGGCCAAAAAATGAATTGGAAGAATTCTCCAAGTCAATTCTGTTTTCATTTTGGCTATTTTAGCCTTGAATATGAAATTCACTTTAAATAACCCTGTTAAAAAGGAACAATTTCACCAGTGTGCTGAGACTTTAAGTTGCTTGTGATTGATATTCTGCAGGATGTGTGTAATATTATCTAGTATCTTCGGTTAAAAAAATAAAAAAAAGATTTTGTTTTAAGTTGTTTCTCTAACTAGCATTCAGTGTTGCCAGCGTGTGCACAGGTTCCTTTTTAGATGTAATGTCCTTCTTATTTTTCAAAAACTATACAAAATTGGGTATAAAAAAGGCTAAATACATAGGCCAAAAGCCATTAAGTGTGTGAAAGTTGTGTTGGTAACGGTAAGCGTTAAAATGGATGTACACCACCTGCATTTTTGCGCACTAGCTGTAAATACCTCTTATTTCCTTTGTCTCAGCAGAGAACATGCAGGGAACTGGGGGAAGCCCAGTGTCTTGGGACCATTTCTTTCATTCTTTGATGCTGTATCATGAGCACCTACGGAGGGATTTGCCCAGTGCAGACACTTTACATCAACGTCACCCGCTGCTCAGAGGCATTACCCAGAGGGAGCTTGATGGACTTATTGCTTTTTTACAGCTCACTACTGAAATCATTGATTGGGTATGTCATGTTCAAATTAGCTGTGTTATCGTGTACAGGTATATGCAGAGTATATTGTACAAGTGTCCTGTAACCTGTCTATTTACTGATTAGAACGTGTTTTGCAAGGAATGAGATTTCTCTCATTTTTCATCCTGTCCTAGAGAGCACGTGCCAATACTATGTTACACATTCACTTTGAATGTGTTTTACATTAGCATTGATTGCAGGTGCTCTTTTTGTAAATAAAGATTTAAAGGACCACTATAGGCACCCAGACCACTGTAGCTTAATGAAGTGGTCTGGGTGCCAGGTCCCTCTAGGATTAACCCTTTCTGCTGTAAACATAGCAGTTTCAAATGGGTTAATCCAGCCTCTAGTGGCTGTCTTATTAACAGCCACTAGAGGCGCTTACGCGCTTCTCACTGTGATTTTCATGGTGAGAAGACGCCAGCGTCCATAGGAAAGCATTGAGAATGCTTTCCTATGAGACTGGCTGAATGTGCGCGCGGCTCGTGCCTATTCCATTACTGTGGAGAATTATAATAAGAGGAGATTCATATTCTGATTGTGAAGGTAGAACTTCTCAGTAGTTTTTGTGAAAATCTCAGTAGTTTCATTAATGATAGCCATCATGATCAGATACTATATTTTAGCATCTCTCTGGCCTGAAGTGGGCAGAGCTGACATTCAGAGATTTTTCAAACCTATTACAAAAAGAGGAAAACACATGCAGCACTCTGGGATACTATTGGTGTAAATTTATTCAGTGGGATGCCACCCAAAAGCCTTTATAATGCATATTCACTAAATAAACCAGATGTGTATTTAACCAATAGTTGATTGGTCACATGATCCACAATAAACAATGCAATATTGCAGTTCCAAGAAAACCGTAAATGTAACTCCATGTCACATTTTCCGGTTTTCTTGAAATTGCATTATTCCATGTCACATTTTCTTGTTTTCTTATCATTTATTGTGGATCATGTGACCACTTCCTCTTTTTTTTTAAATAAACTTCTGAATATGAAACATCTGGAATGAAAATAGTGAATGCCTAGGTAGTGTTTTTACCTTCCAGAGAAGTGATGCAGGCAATTAGAGTTGATATACCTTGCTTCAAGAGTCAGCCATGAGTCATTTTTTTGATCTATGACTATGAAGGAATCACACTAAAAAGCAATACATCATAACAAATTATGCAGTGTTGTGTTTGGTGAGGTGGCTTTACAGTGTTTATACATACAGTTGTGCTCAAAAGTTTGCATACCCTTGGAGAATTGGTAATAAATGTACCGTTTTGAAAGAAAACATGAGTGAGCAGGTTAAACACATTTATTTTATTTCTCATGTGATTCATATACATCTGTAGATTATTACAGAATGGCACAATCATAAAACAAAACATGGCAACCAAGAAAAAGTTAAATGACCCCTGTTCAAAAGTCTGCATACCCTTAGTTTTTAATACCGCGTATTGCGCCCTTTAGCATCAATGATGGCAGGCAGGCAGTCTTTTGTAATAGTTGTCTGAGACCCCTAATTCTTGCAGATGGTATAGCTGCCCATTCGTCTTGGCAAAATGCCTCCAAGTCATGCAAAGTCATTGGTCTTGTTGCATGAACTGCACGTTTGAGATCTCCCCAGAGTGGCTCGATGATATTAAGGTCAGGAGACTGTGATGGTCAGTCCAGAACCTTCACCTTTTTCTGCTGTAACCACTATAAGGTCAACTTGGTCTTGTGCTTAAGGGTCATTGTCATGTTGGAAACTCCAAGAGCATCCCATTCGCAGCCTTTGTGCAGAAGAATGCAAATTGTTTGCCAGTATTTTCTGATAACATGCTGCATTCATCTTGCCATCAATTTTCACAAGATTTCCCAAGTGTCTACAGCTCACACCCCCTCCCAAAACATCAGTGAGGCACCACCATGCTTCACAGTGGGGATGGTATTCTTTTTCACTATAGGCCTTGTTGACCCCTCTCCAAATGTAGTGCTTATGGTTGTGACCATAAAGCTCTATTTTGGTCTCGTCACTCCAAATTACAATGTGCCAGAACCTGTGAGGCGTGTCAAGGTGTTGTCGGGCATATTGTAACTGGATTTTTTTGTGGCATTGGCACAGTAAAGGCTTCTTTCTGGCAACTTGACCATGCAGCTCATTTTTGTTCAAATATTGTCATGTTGTGCTCCTTGAAACAACCACTCTCTTTTTCCAGAGCAGCTTTTATTTCTCCTGAGGTTACCTGTGGGTTTTTCTTTGTATCCCGAATAATTCTGTATTCCGAGCAGTTGTAGCTGAAATCTTTTTTGGTCTACCTGAACTTGGCTTAGTATCAAGAGATTCTGGAATTGTCCACTTCTTAATAAATGATTGAACAGTACTGACTGGCATTTTCAAGGCTTTGGATATCTTTTTATATTCTTTTCCATCTTTATAAAGTTTCATTACCTTGTTACACAGATCTTTTGACAGTTCTTTTCTGATCCCCGTGGCTCAGTATCTAACCTGCTCAGTGCATCTCCACTGGTGTGAGAAGTTAACATTTAATTGCGATTTTTACCTGTGTTACCTTGTGTGTCTGTAACAAGTCCAAACATTCAAAGGTTTGTAAACTTTTGATCAGGGCCATTTGGGAGATATGTTATCATTATGATTTAAAAATGAGCCAAACAACCTATGTGATAATAAATGGCTTCATATGATCACTATCCTTCACTAAAATAAATTTGTTGCATGATCAGTCATATTTTCAAAATCAATGCCAAAATTTCACAATTTCTGCTAGGGTTTGCAAACTTTTGAGCACAACTGTATAGCAAATCACTAATAGTGTATAACTAGCTTTAGCATTTCCTGCAGTCTCCTTTCTTATGGGAAGATTTGTTTCTCAGCAAGGGTTTATTACTTAAATTACAAGTTGTGGTAAATAAAAAAAATAAAATATAATTACAAAATGTTGGCTAAAATAACCAAGCTGTGATTGATTTTATTTTTTTCATATCCATTATGGTTGCATAGATGTTACAATTTATCCCTCAATTTACTACAATTGAGTGTTAATTGAATAAACCCCAAATAGATTTCTTAAAGGACCACTATAGACAGCTCAGTGAAGTGGTCTGGATGCAAGGTCCCCCTAGTTTTAACCCTGCAGCTGAAAACATAGCAATTTTAGAGAAACTGCTATGTTTACACTGCAGGGTTAATCCAGCCTCTAGTGGCTGTCTCCCTGACAGCCACTAGAGGCACTTCCGCGATTTACACTGAGTAAATCGCATTTATTTGAAGCTGGACGTCCTCACGGACCTCTAGTGTCAAAAAAGAACATTGAGTAATGCTTTCCAATGGGCGAGTTTGCATGCGTGTGAGCCTCTGACCGCGCATGCGCATTAGGCTCCACTCGGGAGCTGACATCGGTGGGGGAGGAGAGGTCACCAGCGCAAAGGGAGCCCAGTGCTCGATTAAGGTAAGGGGCTGAAGGGGGGAGGGCACTCCAAGAGCCTATAGTGCCAGAAAAACTGTTTTTTTTTCCTGGCCCTATAGGATCTCTTTAACATTTCAAAAATAGTTTTTTGCTTTGTAACCCAAATGGGAGATTTGGAGCTAACTAGATACTAAAATATTTTTTACAGAACTGTGGCCAAGTTGTATCGCTAAAAATTGCATTCTGTAAGAATAACTATAAAAATTGCATGGATGATTATCTATACCCAAGCTTGTGCCTGTTTAGCATGCTTCAGTAGTCAACTATATCAAAGGCTTTAGCAGTCTTCAAGCGCCATAACCACTACAACGTTATGTAGATGTTCTGGTTCGTTGGCTGTCCATCCATGTTTTAAAGTTTAAAGATGTGACCTATTAAGATAATTTAAAAGAAAAAATGTTGACCTCGTAACGTAACGGATTATCATACATTTACATTTCATTTTTTATATTTTTGTTTTTATATATGCAAAAAAAGATTATTTATACAAATAGTTGCTGTTTTTTTTTTTTTTTTCTTTCTTTCCTCAACCTAGGGGTGATATGTTCATGCACACTTTGCAAATACTATGTGCAAAGTGTGAAAAAAAAAAACTTAGGAAAACAATAATATATCCCTGGCTCACTGTCACTATTTTCATCAAGCTCTATAACCCCAAATCGGAAGGAGACCTAACACAGTCTATTTTATTAAAAATACTTAGATTATCAGTATTTCCTTCCTTTATATGGTTCTTTCAAGGGTTTCCACAGTTAGTTATGTCAGTTGCAAATGTGCTCAAATAAAAAAAATAAAAAAGGAAAAAAATATCACTAAAACAGGCAAAAAGCTATCTCAAATGGTAGGATCTTTAAGAATAGACACTAAACCCTACATTTCTATTTCCTTATAAAATGAGAAAATAAGGATAATTAAAGTCTCAAGAAGAACATTCACAGTAACTCCTAACCGGATTATTTAAATCCTCTAATTTTATCACAGTTTCTCCAGGTATGTGTAGTTTTAGAAGACAAATTTCAGAAATTGTTGCGATCTCACCCACCACTAAGCATCTTGCTTAAGACAGTTGAAATATCAAATTATAAGAACTAATTTGTGATGGAGAGGAGGTTGTACATTGATTTTTGCAATACATACAATTTCTTTGTCTCTGATGAAAACACCGCCCTTGTTTAATACCTATTTAAAAAAAAAATTGTGGCAACTGGTATAATGCTGAACAGTGTAATATAGATATGCTATGATTGAATGTTGCCTCTTAGTGCAGATTTACACTGATGTGATCTCCGCTCACTGCTTGTTCTTGTAATTCCTGCTAGAGTGAAAGTGCTCGTCTGGCTCTTAGTGAACATGCTCAGTGGATGCCTGTGGTTGTTATCCTCGGCTTGCTCCAGTGCAGTATTCCTCCCATCCTCAAGGCTGAGCTCTTGAAAACATTGGCAGCATTTGGGAAATCACCAGAGATAGCAGCTTCACTCTGGCAATCTCTGGAATATACCCAGGTAAGTTAAAAACACCCACTTTATAATTGGAGAGTGGTTATATTGTGGCTTGTTTTACAGAGAGGTGATGCATTTTTTTTATTGTTTTAATCAGACCCCAACTTGGTATAGTAACTTCTATACAATGTAACTTACTTCCTCTGAATAGATATGCATTACAAACATATATCATATATCATGGGGAAATAAATCAATGTCTGAGCATCAATGCATGCAAACAGCAACCATGCCTTTAAGATATTGTTTTTTTTCCCATGCATCTGTTAAGCAACAAACATTTTTGCCAACTATTCATAGACCATAACTTTTCATCTGTATGTTATATTAGCCACAATGCTGGCATATTTGTATATCGCATGTTATTCTATGTTGAAGGTTCTAACTCTTACTGTCAATATTACTAGCATAGATTAAATCTAATACAAAAATAAATTCTAAGGGTAACATGGTAATGTGGAAGGTTCATCACTTTCATTCTCAAACTAAATCTGTTGGGTGCATGCAGGGCACTTGTCAAGCATGCGCATCATGTTCCCAATACTCCTCTATGAGGAGCATTGGATTGGGCAATTACTAGAGGAATCTTTGCCTCCTAATGCTTTGGGAGGCGGAGAGGTGAGGAGCGTTGAGATTTCTTGATAAAGGTAAGTAAATCTTTTATTCATATTCATGGCATACAGGGGGAGGGAGGCTATATTAAGCTAGGGTCAAGGGTTCTACAGCATAAGGTATGCAGGTTTATATTCCTATAGTGTTCCTTTAATAGCAACGGTATTTTGATTATTCCATATACAGCAGAACCTTCATTATAAGAAGTACCATCTTGCTTGTGATTCTTACTTGACACAAGTTGTTTTTTGTTTTTTTTTAATGTATACATGTTCTATACATTTTTTTTTTTTATTCACAGATTTTACAAACCGTGAGAGCTCCAGGCCAGCGACAGGCAGCAGGCATTGAGGTAATTATAACCATGTAACTCGCCCTTTAAGTCCTCCTTTCACACTGTCATCTGGGATGCATGCTCTGTCTGCAACATTACTAAATCAACTGCTGTCTATGTCTTCTTCATCTCATGTTTCCTTATGCTGGCATTAACTGAAACATGGCTATTTCCCTCTACTACCCCTGCCTCTTTATCCTTTTGGTGGTCTTCAATTGACTTGCATCACTAGACAATCTGACAGAAAGAGTGGCGAAGTAGGGTTTCTGCTTTCACCCCACTGTTTCTTCAAATTTCTACCTACCCCTCCACCCCTTCCCTTTTTATCTCCTCTTGCGAAATTCACTCAATTTGTGTGTTTAAACAACGTCTGCTAATGTCGCCATTATTTCCCGTATCCCCAGCCCTCCTTAACTAGGTTAACAGAAATCTATTGACCTCCAGCAACTGTAATCTGATGTCTCTTCTCAGCTCTCATTCATCCCTACTTTCTCTTGTCCCTCTCTGACTATCTCCTCATAAAAAGCTACCCTCCCCTCTGGACGCTGCTGTCAGGTCCTCGCGAGCGGGGGGCTCTGGTGCTTCCTCGCAGCGCTGTTCGGTCCCGCCGGCAGTGTTTATGACCCTGCACGCTTGCGTGATGCGTCCTTAAATAAGCAACTGAATCAGCCACCTGGCTCAGCGCGTTTTGATGACATCACAGGACTAAGTGGAAGGTCAAAATGCCTTCCACGTGTTGTAATAAATTCTAATTTAAAGCTAGCCAATCAGGTTTGCCTTAATCCTATTTAAACTTACCTTCCCCTTGAATTGGTGCCCTGTTGTGGTTTTTGTTAGCCCAATAGCTTGTTACTCTGTATCTGATTATTCTGGTTACTGAACTTTGGCTTGTCTCTTGTTTACGCTGTCTTCTTTGATCCTTGACCTCGGCTTGTCCTTTCGTATACCGTCTCTGTTGTCCTTGACCTCGACTTGTACTCTGACCACACACTCTCTCTTTTGTATAGCCCGGCCACTCTAAGGACCAGTATTGCAATTCTGTGTGTCTGTAACCTGTCTGCGTGTTTAGGTAAATGGGACAGCTGCAGCCCTACTCCAAACATGCACCTCAAGGAGGGCACGCCTTCAGACGTGGCACACTAGGTTGACTCTGTACATGCAGAGATGCTTGTGTTAAGCTGAACACTGCTGGATGAAGTCTCACACATTGTCAGACTTTCTCCATTATAAATTTATCTTGCATTCGTACAGCACAGCGATCACCCTTGCTAAATAATCAGATTTTCTTCTCATTTTACCATGCTTCCACAATCCAAGGCGTCTCTTTGATACCTTCAATTCACTTCTTCACCCTGCTGTGGCCACCACCAAATTAAACTTTCAATTAAGCGGTTTACATGCTTTTTTCCCTGACAAGATTAATCAATTAAGGAAATAATTCTCTCCCCTTCCTCCTCTCTGTCAACCACACTTGAGCTGGGGCTTTCCTGCCTTTCAATCCTTCTCCCCTGCTACTGAACAAGAGGTGGCTGCACTTCTCCTTACCTCTCGCCCCACCACTTGTCCACTTGATCTTGCCCCATCTCACCTTATCAGATTTCTCTCCCTGTGTCTTGTGAAATCCTTAATGCATATCTTTAACTGTTCTTTCTTCTGGCATTGTCCCCACTCCCATCAATCATGCTACTGTCGTACCCGTCCTTAAACAAACAATCACTTGACCCGTCTTTCTTTCCATCTACCATCCCATATCCCTTCTAACTCTCCTCAAAGCTTTTAATATGACTTATCTTTACGCGTCTTGCTTGCTTTCTTAATTCCAAGTCTCTCCTTGATCATCCACACTACTGAGACCGCTCTGATTAAAGTAACCAATCATGGCATTGCTGCTAAATCTGAAGGCCACTACTGTATACTCTTTCTTCTAGACCTTTCTGCTGCCTTTGACATTGTTGATCTTGTCCTCCATCTTCAAACTATTCAATCCCTTGATCTCTGTGACACTGTTCTCTCGTTCTTCTTCTATTTCTTCCCATGTTCATTCAAGGTATACTTTTATACTAATAACACCTCCTACCCTCATCCTGTCTCTGTCAGAGCCCCCACTGGTCTCTTCTTGTTCCCCTTTTTGTCCCCATTTATTGTTAAATTTCCCTCCTTTTATAATTTTATAAAGTGCTGTGGAATAAGTTGGCACTACATAAATACCAAAAATAATAATAATAATACATATAATATTAATAACAACAAAGTATTTAACCAGGAAGGGTACATTCAGATTACTCTGGTTTTCAAGTGTGTCCTGTTACCTTAACCCAACATCCAGGGGTTGTTACTATTACCCAATTTAATGGTACGTATCATGAAATTTGAAAAAAAAAATCTAATTTTATTTTGCTATTGTCAATTAACAGTAGTTTTATCTTTTCAGTAAGAGTTCGCATCTCTAACAGTATTGCTGTAGGGTTTACATAAAATATGCTTATTTTTAATTTTAACTTTCACATTTACCCAGTTTTAGAATTCTCTCATTGTGGTTTTTTTTTTTTTTTCTACTAGATATACTAGTGAAAGGTGAACTATAGTAACATGCTCTTTTCATATTTGTTTATTGGCAAAGGTGGAACTGAATGAAATCGAGTCGAGGTGTGAGGAGTATCCGCTGACTCGTTCTTTCTGCCAGCTCATTGGTACTTTAGTCGGGAGTTCTTTTCCATCAAACCTTGGTGCTGGTCTGCGCCCTCCAGGTTTTGAACCCTACCTTCAATTTCTCCGGGACACTGTTTTCCTCCGCTTCCGCACCAGGGCTTACAGAATACCCGCAGAAAAGGTAGATGACAAGTTTTGGTCACAAACCACATTGTACTATTGTTTCTTAGTGAGTTCTCCTCTATCTTCAGCTTCTAATAAAAAAAAGAACAATTTTTAGATTTTAAAAAAAGAGTATGCAATTTCAAAGTGATCTAAACACTAAAAACTAAAAATTGCCTGTGGGATTAATATAGCAGATGCTTTGCAGTAATTCTCATACCTTAGTGTTTGAAACTTGGGTAGGTAGGCTTTGCTATTGCAGATGTTGTGTGGTAGACTAGAGCATTTTGTGTTGTTTGGGGGAGAAGCAGGGTGTGGGGGGGGGGGTAGTTTAGATCATCTAGAAACGTAGATGTTATCTACTTCAGTTTTTTTTAATCGTTGTCACATAATGTCAGGCAGTCTCTGGTATTCCATTGACTTTAGACAACTACTTTTGTGACGTTTAGACAGCCATGTAGTACTTTTGTCATTAAAAGAACAAGAGTGTTTGATATGTGTCGACTGTAAGCCATCAAGAAGATCCCTCTTAACACTATAGAAATAATTCTATTTATCTGTTTGACCATTTTTAAAAAAAAATTATGACAATGTAACTCCAGAACCATTATTTGGTACAATTTGTGAAGTTTGACTGCAGAGCTTGCTTTTATGTATTTGGTTTTGTCTTACATAGCCATTTTACAGTGCTGACACCCATTCGACCTGAATCCTGTTAATAAGAGTTAATAGAGTTGTGTAAGAGTTCATAAATGTACCTCATTAGAGATTTTTGCTTTTTTTTTTTCTTCAAGCAGCTGGGTGAATTGTTAATGTATGACTCAGAGGTTTGCCTTGACGAGGCAGGTGAGCTTATACTTTAGTGGCTGTTAGAGTGGTACTAAAAATGCCTTTTACCATCCAAAGACTAATAAGCTGACATTATTTACACAATCATGTGCACTGAATGTGGTTGAATTTTGAGTGCCATCGCCTTGCCATATTCAGTGTACATAATTGGCAGAAGGGCTTAAATATAAATCTGGATTGCAATTTGTGTGATAATTGAATATAAGATTCTAATTCCCTATTGGAGATAGAAACATTTTAAGTTGAAATTTAATTTTAAAAAATACATGTAATTAGGTTTGGTGAAGAGTCCTGCCATACTCTCTGGGATGGTTCTTATGCATTTATCTTCTTTGACACACAGCTTTCCTTGCATTAAATATTGGGGTGTACATTTTATTTTTATTTTATTTTTTTTGTGGATCCATCCCCTTTTGGAAACCACCCACCATATTTTCAGCATAACTGGTATGACCTTATTGGCAAGTCCAAAGTCTGTCCTGCTTTCATGCCTCCTATTGTTCTTATAAAGGATAAGTCTCTGAAATCTTATGTGAAATTCTAACTAAATCAATTATAAGCCATTTAAAGCAGCTATGTCGCCTCCCATCAGAAATAACCTTTTCTAAAATACTCACATTGACTGTGTTGGAATATCACTGAAATTCCAATGCAGTCAAAAGATATACTAAGACAAAGTAGAGCCTATTTTATCTTGGTATATTCCACTGCTTGACAAAACTTGAGTAAAGGAGGAGCGACCACCCCCCAAGTATTGTTATTTTCTGCAATAGTACTGATATAACACTTACGTGGGCTCCTGGATGGAAAAACATGGCGGCAGCAACAAGGAACAGGTTCACGTAAATAAAACTCGCCTTTACCCCACAACCACTAGACACCAAGCAGAGTAGTCACCTTTGGAAGACCCCAGACTGTGTCGGAATGGCTTTCATTATTCATTAATCTGCAGATACTCCTTTTTTTTCTTTCTTTTCTTTTCGTTTCCTTTTTTTTTTTACTCAAATGTTTTCTTCTTTCACCTCATATAGTTCTTTAGAGGGGGAAAAAAACTATTTATTCTGCATACATCAATCTGAATTAATCCTTATTGTTGGTTATTGGGGTCTTCTTTCTGCTCAGGTATCTTTTGGCTAAGAATTAGCATCTTGATCCAATTTTAAAGGGGCACTCCAGACCCCTAAAGGGCTTCAGCTTGCTGAAGTGCTTTATGAATGAAGAGTGTGTCCTCTGTTTTTCATTTTACAAAAAGTGCGTATTTCAATACAAATTGATTTGTTTGGTTGCTTAAATCGATAGACCTAAACTCAAGAGACAGGTAATTGCTCAGAGCACTTACCTTGCAAAGAGTTATTGTTGAGTTGCACTGGGAAGGCTGTGATTGGACAGCAACAAAAACTCTGGACTGGGTTAGAAAAGGCTTGCAAAGGCAACAGGCAAGAGAACTGTAGGTTTTGATGTTTTTTGTTCTACCCCCAGTGGACAAAATGCATAAATAAATGCGTGCAAGTTTTCAATTGTGTATATTCTTACTTTTATGTGTTGGTGACCTTTTAAAGCCATGTTACGTTTGTCTTTTTTTTCAGTGGGAAGTAGCAGAGGCAGTGCTGGATGTTTTTTACAAGCTGCTTAAAGACTATGAACCCCAGCCTGATGACTTTGTGGACCATCTTGTGCATCTGCAAGGTATGTAGTTTTGTAGTGGTGTTGGTTGTTTTTTTTTTTTTTTCTGAAATCATATAGCTGTGTTTGTTGGAGCATTTTATTCCTTATTTTTAAATTTGTCTTGTGTTTAGGGGAAGAAAGAGTTGCTTACAAACCTCCTGGTTTCAGCTTAATGCACCACCTACTCAACGAGTCCCCAATGTTGGAGCTATGCCTGAGTGTTATTGAAGAGGGAGTCACTCAGCTAGACACATATGCACCTTTTCCAGGTAACTGAACACTTCTAATGTGGAATTGAATGTAATTAAAACAAGCTAGACATTTTGTATGTGATATTTGCATGCAGGCATAGAATATACATAGATCACAGTACTAAAATGATGTTAAACACATTTAGAAACATAAATAGTCAGAAACATAAAGAAAATGTCAAATTTTGACCAAAAGAGATGAACGTGAAAAAATTATTTGAATCCACTGTGACTTCAATTTTGTGGGCATACAATTTGAAATTCCCAATAAAATGACTCTTTAATGAGTCACGAGTTGCCCACTGCTTTTATATTTCAAAAGGTTTAAAAATACATCTGCAAATTGTTAAACATATGCAAGTATTCTCATGTCTATACTTTCTTCATTTTTTTTTTTTTATGACTCTTCTTGCCCTTCTTGGCTTAGATAGGAAGCCTGTACTGTTTGCATTCTTTCAATACATTTTTAATGAGAAAATAAATTGCCTTATTATGAAGTGTGGTCAGAAAAACCTGAGATATGAAAAATTTATTTAACGCCCACATACTACTTGTTGAAAAAGTTTTTTTTGTTTTTTTTTTGTTTAAGATTTTCTAAAGCAGCACAATTTAAAGTTGTAATTTTTTTATTGTATCCTTTACAGAAATGTTGGGTGGGTTGGGAAATAAACTGGTGTAGTGCAAATATGGTACATATGACCTTGAAGAATTTCACACAGCATCTGAAATCTTAAAATAGAAGCAAAATTTTAAGTTTTGTCATATGCAATAGGATTAACGAAAATTATTAAAGGGACACTATAATCACCTAAACAGCTTTAGATGAATGAAGCGTTTTTTTGTGTATAGATCATGCCTTAAGTCTCACTGCTGAATTTTCTGCTATTTAGGAGTTAAACCACTTGTTTCTGTGCTTTACACAGACTGCTATTTAAAAATTTTTTTTTAAAAATCACATGTCAACTTTAATAAATACAGTACATTTTGTAACTTCAACTTTAATCATACACAGGAGGCTCCTGCAAGGTCGAGCAAGCTATTAACAGTGCAGGAGATAAGAAATCCTAAATTAAACAGAATTTGTAATAGTGGAAGTATAAACATTAGATGTCTCTTTACATGAAATGTTTAAGAAGACTGTGCAAGTTGCATGTAGGGAGGTGTGACTACGACTGTATATACAAAGTGATTTAACGCCTAAATAAAAGGAAATTGAGCAGTGAGACTGCAGATGCATTAACTATACAGCAAAACTGCTTAATTAAGCTAAAGATGTTTTGGGGACTATAGCTTCCCTTTAAAGGGACACTATAGTCACCCAGACCACTTCAGCTCAATAAAGTGGTCTGGGTGCCAGGTCCCCCAGGTTTTAACCCTTCAGATGTAAACATAGCAGTTTCAGAGAATTTGCTATTTTTATATTCCAGGGTTAATCCAGCCTCTAGTGGTTGTCTTCCTGACAGCCGCTAGAGGCGCTTCTGCGACGCTGGATGTGAAAATCGCATTCAGCGTGCAGAACATCCATAGGAAAGCATTGAGAAATGCTTTCCTATGGACTGTTTGCGTGCGTGGCTCTGGCGCATTCCCCTCCACTCGGGAGCTGACATTGGCGGGGGAGGAGAGGTCACCAGCGCTGAGGGAGCCCGGCGCCAGATAAAGGTAAGTTGCTGAAGGGGTTTTAAAACCTTCAGCCCTGAGGGTGGGGGGGTAGGGGGGCACCCACCCAAGGGTTATATAGTGTCAGGAAAACAGGTATGTTTTCCTGACACTTTGTAGTTGGTTCTTCTACCAATTGTGACTTCATCTCAATCCAGTATGTTCAATATCTTAATAATGTGAAGAAAAAGAATACATTCACAAAAATAGAGCCTCCAATCAGCTCTTTGTTAAGGCTCTAAGTGGTACAATCCCCACTCAGAGATGAAACTGGAATAATGTGTTATCTAGATGTGCAGTTTTCCCAATTTGCTCTAGCAGGTGTTCATCCTAATAAATATTAAGTGGTTTGCAAAATCTTTCAGCCAATAATTGATTTCCATTCTTTTGTCCCGAGTAGATATCTATCCATAAGACTTCCCTTTCCTCTTAACATACCATTTGCATTTGCTTAATATTTAGTTTAAAGTGTCGTTTGACATACAAACCTACCCCTTCACCTTTCTTATTTTTATATCCTTCTTAAATGATGTGTAACCCTTTTAAGTTAACTATCCAGTTACGTGTTTCATCCCACCATGTTTTCGTTTGGTTTATGCTATTGGCTTTTGGTCCCTCATTTTGTTATTAAGGCTCAACGAACAAGCATACATTTAATATAGTCATGTGCCACTTGTACTGTATGTAGATTTTTATTGCAGAACTCCCCCCTCCCAACCACTAGTTTAAATTCTCCTCCAACCTTATAGCCATCCTGGCCCTGCTACTGCAGAACCTCTTCTGATTAGAAACAATCCATCACGTTTATAGAAATTGGGCTCTAAAAAGCGCAAAAACTCTTACATCTCTGGGATTGTAACTATGCATTAATCTCCCTCATCTCGTGCTGTCTTGCCATTGTAGCACATGGCAAATGTAGTATCTCTGAAAATAATGCTTTGGCGATATTTGTCTAATTTCCTACATGCATTCTTGGGAGCCCCCATTTTCCTCTGATGTTGTGATTGGTATGTGTATGGACCATAACTGTTCCTCCAAGTAATCAGTCAACTCCGGTCAGCAATGTGCTGAACCCGAGCACCAGGGAGACAGCAAATTGTCTGGTTGGTGTGATCAGTCCAGCAGATTACCCGGACTATTCTCTTAAAAATAGAGTCCACTACTACTGCATCCTGTCTAGCCTTTCTTATGTTATCAATCCCACCCATACTTGCATGGCTGTTCCCTCAGATTTTTGGACAGAATTCTCCATTACAGCTACTACTCATCTGTTAATGAATCGACTAAAACCTTTAGTGCAATCTTTATTCTTCATGATGTTGCCATATTCCAATATATTAAAGAGTCCATGCCCTCTGTTAATGATATTTAAAAGTGGTTTCATAGAGTCAATATCCACTATAATGATTTATGCTACTGTTCTGAAATTACACTGATGAAAGCTTAGTCTGTGATTTGAATCTTCTATTTATCAGGGAAGAAGCATCTGGAAAAGGCAGTCATATACTGTATCATGCTCCTCAATCTGACTCTGCAGAAGGAAAATAACTTCATGGATTTGCTAAGGGAGAGTCATCTCTCTATGATTGTGACCCCAGTGGAACAACTTTTGCAGGGAATTAATCCCCGCACCAAGAAGGCAGACCACATAGTGAATATTGCAAGGTACGTGTTAACAGCAGCAGCAGCAGCATTGGCAAACAAATTCTTATTACTGGGAAATGTTTATTTACCGGGAATTTAGTAACCAAGACTAAACTGGACCATTGCAGACCAATAGCCTCTTCAGATTCATAAGTCTGCCACACATAGTTGGAAAACTAATTACTTTACGTTTGTAGTTATGTTGAAATACCAACCAAAGGAAAGTTTGTGTGCTGTCACTGCTGTATTATCCCGGTGTGTCAGGAACATTCTATTCATTAATACAGTCTAGCCAAGACAGCATCTTTATTTACGACTTTTAAAGCGGCACTGTCATGCCGAATCCTGTTTTTTTGTTGTTTTTTTATCCCCCCTCTGGCCTCCACTACATCTGACACCCTAGTTACCCCCCACATTACCTATTTTTTTATCTTTATTTTCTGCCCCGATCTTGATTCATGAAGTCCCTGTGGGACACGTCATCTGCCCACACTAGATAGCACTGAGATTCCCGCACATGCCCAGTGAAACACCTGGACATGCGAACGGGAATTTCATCCATTCATTCATTCATTCATCAGACAGACGAATGAGTGAATAGAAATATCAGCCGAACAAACTGACACTGAATATCAGTGTTCGTTTGTTCGTTCAGTTTATTACAAGGAGGGAGCTACCAGGGCGGCGGGTGGGGGCCAAATGATAATGAGGGGGGACCTACTGCATGCTTCTATACAAATCCAGACCTCTCCTGGCAGGCTGCTTCTAATTTTACTGCTAAGTAATCCAAGCCATGGTTGTTGAGCATCACAACATGTCCAAGACACCCTTGTTGGACAGGGATTTTAAAGATATTTGCTTCTCATCTTGACTGAGCTCAATGCAGATTTTTTTAAACTTTTTTTACTTTAATGGAACAATTCATTAAAATAAAAAATGCAATTGAAATAACGAAAATAAGTTATTTTTTTTTTAAATTTTTTTTTTTAATTCTTTATTTTTGTAGTGCGTAAGTTTGTAACAGTCGCTTGAGAGGTACCCCAAAGGCAATCCTCTGGCGCATTTCAAACAATAAGGCATAGAGGTACTTGTTAAGGCTAGCACATTTTTATACATAAAGATTATTACGTTGCGTAATATACAGTGTGTATTATCATTACTTAGTCTCTTACATAACATAAAATAGCTTTGTTGATAATGGGGGTAACAATCAGGCTGGGGCGAGGCAGTATGAAACTGGGGTAGTTAGGGTTAAACACTCTCTTCCTGGATTCTGGCTACACAGGGTTATGCGGTAAGTGTAGTGACAAGTGCGCTAAGCTAGATGACAATTCTGTATTTTTCTCGTGCTTGAGATAACTTACAGGTTGGGAAATGCCACAGTAGCTGTAACAAGTGCAATAGTGACAACCGATAGTGGTCAGAGATATGATGGTTTGTCGGCTGCACATTTTTAATATTTAAACGTTGGTTCTGATGGTATGCAGGGGAGTCGGCTAGCGTGGCGACAGGTTACATGCAGTGTGCAATGGGTAGTCTGAGTATTGTCTTGCAGGTTCTCCCTGCTGCTAGTGTATGCCATATCTAGGTGTCTCTACCTGGGCACCGTACGTGGAGATCGTCCAGTGGAGGGTGTCTAGAGGCTTGTAGTCTGCCAAGTGGGTTAGTGTCCCCTGTGACCCTGGGGTGGGGGGGTGCGGGTGTGGGGACCAAGTGATATACCTGCTCCCTGTGTCCTGGTCTCTGTCGGTGGGCTACGTGGGTGCGGAGGTTAATGTAGCTCAGTGGGCTTTTCGCTCGGGTTTGGGAGCGCGATAGTGTCCCGAGGTCGGTCCCTTCAAGGCCTATCATGGGATGTCTAGGGCATGGGATGTGAGAGCATATCAGACAATCAAAACTGAAAATAGAAATGCTAATAATAATAATAAAAACTATGCAAACAAAAAATACAGGAAAAAACGGCCTCCTCAGGAGATCATTGGTATACAAGACCGTTCAGCCGGGTTGTCAGTCCTGTAGTTTCAGTCCTGCAATGAGGAAGAACGTCCCGGTGCGGGTGCTGGGCCCTCACGTGGTCACTGTTGCATACTCGGGTTTCCCCGTTCCCCGTGGGATGAAAGGGATTGTCTTCGCTGGATCCCATCTCGGAACCGTTGCTGACGCTTCCTGTGCAGTAATGGGCGGAAGCCCCTCTAGAGGTAGGCCCAGCAGGCGCAGTAAAGCGGGTGCTTCTTGGATGTCCGAAATGGAGTAGGCCTTGTTATCTTGTTGAATGTGTAGAGTGTGTGGCGTGCGCCAGCGGTAGGTAATCTGCTTCTCTCGGAGCAGCTTGGTGACGGGCAGCATGGACCTGCGCCACTGCAGAGTTTCCCCTGACAGGTCCGCGTAGAAAGACAGGACCATCGATTCAAAGCTGTAGGTGGCTGCTCCCTTCAGGGCCGCGAGTACTGCCATTTTGTCGGCCGCGCTTCTGTACTTCACCACCAGGTCTCGGGGGGCTGCCTCAGGGGCTCTCCGGGGTTTTGGGACCCGGAAGGCCACTTCGAAGCCGATGTTCCTGGCTTGCTTAGGAGTCAATAGGGCTCCTGTGAGCCTCCGTAGGAGATGTGGGATTTCCTCTGCAGGTATGTCCTCCGGGATCCCGCGGATCTTTAGGTTATTGCGGCGCCTGTCGTCTTCTATTGCCGCGAAGCGTTGGTCAGTTTTGGCCTGCTTTTGCCGTAGTGCCTGCAATTCCCGCCTGAGCTCTGTTATTTCTTGTGCTTGCCGCGTGGAGGCTATTTCAACTGCATCGATACGGCCTACCAGGCCCGTGAGGTCTGTGCGTAGCTGTGCGACATCGGCCTGGAGGGTTTTCTGCAAATCTCCTAAAAGAGTCTTCAGCAGCACCGCCGTCACCGGTTCTGCAGCCGCAATGCTTGGTGCTGGTTGTTGGGGTCTCCCTGGAGGGAGGATAGCAGCTTCCTCTGGGAAGAAATCCCCCGAGGAGTCAGAGAATTCGTCGAGGTCGGTGGCCATCTTGGGGCCGTATGCACCTTGCACTTGGGTGAAGAGATCCCTTATGCTGGCCCCCTGTTTGGGTCTGTCCGGTTTTTGTTTCTTGGTTTTCTTTCCCATTGTCGTTATGGGTTGCTTGAGCGTTATTATCAGCAATTAGGTGGCCGAAAATCGTCAGTTTGCTCTGGGTAAACACGGAGCCCATCTACCCTGCGTCCGTTCAGGTCGGCTGCCAAGCTCCGCCCCCGAAAATAAGTTATTTTAAATGTAAATTAAATATTATTTATTAGCTCCTATAGAATAAACTCATCAAATCTGATTCAAACTGTCAACTTATGCATTCATTTTCGAGGGACAAAATCTCTCACCAAGGTATATGTGGTGAAAAAAAGAAGCAGCCCACAATATAAAATTATATTTTTCTGTACATAAAAACCTTATATAGTAGAGTCAGGTATGTTATTCAGCATCCAAGGATGGTGCACTGGTCTTTTGTTGCCTACTAAAGTAGGACACCACTTTCCCTTTCTAGGCAGACTTTAAGAAAACCGAGTGCATACTAACCACACTCTGCTTGGCAAATTTAATCTGTTTTATGATGTTATGTGTGATATATCTTACTTTTGTTGTGTCCAGGTCCTACAAAGGCATTGAGTAAGATGTGTCCCCAGTGCATGCATTGGTCAGAAGTATACCGTTGCATACAATGTGTGAATGTGCAGCATGAAAATATATTTTTGTTTTCTTTATCTACAGGTATCTTGGCCATGGCAGCTGCAATCCAGAACTTGCTTTTGAAAGTGCAAAGCTTTTGTGTAGCATCTCACGTAATGCCAACATCCACACAAAACTTGTGGGAGACTTCACCAGAGACCAGGTAAAAAGTAATTAGAAAGCAGACTGGTAGTTTGACTGATGCGTGTGGATGCTACACTTTTATAGTTTAACATAAATGTTTTGCATTGTTTTTTTCCCAGTACAAGTAACTGCAATATAAAATGAATAGTTTATGCAAAAAATACAGCAGTTCTTGTGGTCCATCATTTGCAGTGTAAAATGTGCAATCTTTCAGGCATGGGTTACTTGGTCTTCATAGAAAGTGAGCTGTTGCCCATCTTTTGAGAGATTTTACTTTTATCTCTTTTGAATTCAACTTGTTTGTATCTTGATTCCTGCAGACTGTGAGTCAGAAGCTGATGGTCGGTTTTGTAGAGTGTTTAGATAGTGAAGAATCTAGCGAGCCTCTGAAACTTGATGAAGGTGGGTTTTCTCTATTTCTACTTAACTGCTCTGTGGACGTTTCTGTGAGCAAACCATATGTACCCTTTTCATTGCACCTGTACATATGACACAGTTGCTTGTGATACTACTTGTGATACTACTTTCTACCTTCTCCATGCTTTGTAGTATATGTAAATACTCTCTCCTTTTGTCCTCTAGACATGCAAACTGATAATAAAGAAGTAACGATTCAGCACAAGACAAAAATCAACATCCTTAATTTATTGATTACCTCATTGGATATGAAACCCCCAAATTTGGCTCTATACCTTCTAGGCTTTGAGCTGAAGAAACCAGTGAGCACCACCAACTTGCAGGACTCTGGTATGTACCAGTAAAGAATATTTCTGTGCATGAGAGGGAACTTGTGTATATTATTGTGTTGTGCTTATCACTTGATTTATGGAAAATGAAAAATATAACTACATATAAATCCATTGAAAATATGTATATGGTAGCCAAGAAGGTGTCTGGTGAAATATTTTATATCCCATTAAATATTTACGCTTGCTAAACTGGAAACATGATGCATAACCAAGCTTACATTGTTTGGCGCTCATCTATAATTAAAGGATCACTATAGTGTCCGGAAAACAAAGCGGTTTTCCTGACACTATAGTGGCCTCCGGGTCCCCCTCCCATGGCATTGAAGGGGTTAAAACCCCTTCATCCACTTACCTTAATCTAGCGCCGGGCTCCCTCTGCGTTGGTGACCTCTTCTCCCCTGTCCGTCACTGGAGCCGAATGCGCATGCGCGGCAAGTGCTGCGCGCGCATTCAAAATGTGTCCATAGGACAGCATTTCTCGGTGCTTTCCTATGGACGCTCTGTTTGATGGAGTCGAAATTTGCCTCCAGCGTCGCAGATGCGCCTCTAGTGGCTGTCTGGAAGACAGCCACTAGATGCTGGATTAACCCCAAATGTAAACATAGCATGTAAACATGAGGGACCTGGAACTATATGACTATATATAGTGTCCCTTTAAATATGTTTTAAATCCGACATCAGTATGTAAAGTATTATGACACCGGGTGCTGTGTGTGCATCTAATGCTTTTCTGTGAGAAGCAGTGAGTGCAGTACTTCTCATAGAGAAGTATTGTATTTGTAAATGGTGACGATTGCTGTGCATGTGCCGTAGGTCACTGTGATAGCCTTTGATTTGACTAAAGTCAAAATTGAGAACTTCAAAGAAGTCTTTCCTGGTGCTGGATTACAGGCATGTATAAATAAATAAAAAATAAACTTTTTGAAGAAGTTCCCCTGTATCTAAACTGTATAAAGGAACACATAGGACTAAAAGAAATACATTTTTATTAGACTGTTCTTTTAAAGGGATTCTATAGTGCCAGGAAAACAAAGCCGTTTTCCTGCCACTATAGAATCCTACAGTGCCCCCCTGCTGCGGCGCTGAAGGGGGTTAAAACAACTTCAGTCACACAAAGACATGCCTTCTTGTTTACCTGCACAACCCATACCACACAGTTAAAAACAGGGTAGGTCAACAGTCGCCCAACTCTCTAGCTATCCTCAATTTGCAGTTACCTGTTTCTATGTGTAGTGACAATAGGGATAGGAAAGGTGACTGTCTTCGCCTCTACCTAAAACTGTGCACACGTCACAATTACCTGAGCTGTACACTGCACTATTATTTAGCTTTATTTTCTGTATTAATATACCGTTTTCTCTATCTTTAAACGAGGGTACCCTGTTTAGAATTCCCCCTATATATAGGTGACAGACATATGTCGTCCCGAGACTGAAATTTGCACGACTCTGCACTATTATTTAGTGGTTATTACATATATGCAGATGTAAACCTTCCTGGAATCCACTTTACTGTACATCACCTTGAATACCTCCAATGTTCAGCTGCTTACTATAATTTCAAAGTTCTTTCTTGTTGATACTCTTCACAAAATCTTAAAGAATGTCATTAAAAAACAAAGCCCTTCAGTCACTTACCTGAATTCAGCATCGATGTCCCTCGGTGCGGAGTCAGACCTCCACCTACACTCCACAGACCTAATGTGCATGCACAGCAATGGCTTTGCTCGCATTAGGATTTCCCCATGGGAAAGCATGCTTTCCTATGGGGAAAAATCTGACGCTGGAGGTCCTCATACAGAGTGTGAGGATATCCAGCGTCAGATAACGAACCATAGGCCCATTTCAAACCAGGAAGCCCTCTAGTGTTTCTCAATAGCTGCAATAATTGCTATTGCAGGGTTAAGGGACATGGGACATTACACCCAGAGCTGACGTGGTCTGGGTGCATTCTGTGTCCCTTTAACCCCTTAAGGACCAAACTTCTGGAATAAAAGGGAATCATGACATGTTACACATTTCATGTGTCCTTAAGAGGTTAAGGGACTATATGAATGTAATCATAACAAGAACATATATTTGTAGAATGGAATGTAAATATGCCTTTTTGTTAATGCAGGCGTTTTGGGATGCCCTCGAACGTGCCTCCACTCCATACTTGATATCTTAGAGAAGGGGACGGAAGGTCGATCGGGCCCCATTGCAGTTTGGGATTCTCCACTGCTTGCTGAACTGTGTTATGAGGTATGATACCGCCTTTAAACTCCAATTTACTGATCCTTTATTATCCTTATTATTTTTCTTGCTAGGACACAGTGCACAGTTTGCGCCAAATATGGCATGTTACTGTAGGTAATAGAATTTAATCTGCTCATCCTACTATCGAGGAGTACTTCTCTGTCATAAATGGAGCATGCAGGGTTTGGCACCTGAACAGTGAGTTGTGATGGTTTGAGATTAGAATTTCAAAATGTAGAGTATAGCCAAACTGGAAAATCTTAAATTCGTCTTGGTTGTGGATTTCTTTACAACTTTTTTTTGAGAATATTTTATTTATTTTATAAAGTGGCATAATCTGCAGGGTAATGCACAACATAAACTTCTAGTGTATAAGAAGGAGTCCATACAAAGTTGCTGTTGAGGTCTGCACTTCTTAACACCACTAGCTCTGTTATAACTTACATTTTGCAACTATTCTCAAGTTTCACCAACAAAACATGTGAATGACAGTCTCTTTGAAGCAACTGGATGAGTACTTGCAAAAATATAATATATTCAGGGATATAACTTTTAATATGTGCGGTAACAGGTTCTTGATCCAAGGATAGATCTGACAGCCATTCTCGCTCAACAAGAAATTTATTCCTAGTTTGTTGGAAAATTGGAAAACTTTTCAAACTGAGTTTTTGCCTTCTTTGGATCAACAGCAAAAACAGATGTGAGAAAAGCTGAACTTGGAAATCTCTCTTTTCAGCCTGAGTAACTAACTATATTTGGAAATCACTACAAATGTTTATTTTTTTTATCAAGCGCATACATGCATAGGTTTCAAAGTTTGAACCAGATGGAGTGTTTTTATAATCTAGATTACTCGAAAGTGGACTTGTGATCAATATGCGTGTTCACTATAATGTCTGTTTAGTGTAAAAGTTTAAATTTGATCATGCTTACTGTTACCGTAAATTAGAAAGAGACGACAGCATGGGTGCATGACACTTTACACATGTTTTGTTTTGGGGAAATTCACAGACCACACATGTCTTAACTACTAAGTACCCCATATTTGTATTCTGCTACTGTTCTTGATTACGATACAAGTGCTCTACCCCAACAAAACAAATTTATGGATAGGATAAATGTACTTAGGTAAGTACGGTACAAACAGCTTCCCAAGAGGCCTTCCCCAGTAACGCATCTGTTATGTCAGAGGAATAATACAAAGATTGCGATGCAGCTAGATTCTAAAACATAAAAACAAACAATATATAGTTAATAGATTGCACCCACAAGATAGAAATTCAAGAAGCGCTTCAAAGCCCAGACCAAAGCTACAATGGTCCGCTCTCCACCTTAGGTAGTAATGGATAGTCAGCAGGCACAGGAACTTCAAAGGACGAAGTCAGGGATCAGGTACAAATTGGGTATTTATTAGGCCTAAAACGCCTGATTAAAAGTATATAATAAAACAAATATAAAAGTATAAATAAATTATTGATACTTTTGTATTTGTTTTTATTATATACTTTTTTGTATTTGTTTTTATTATATACTTTTAATCAGGCGTTTTATGCCTAATAAGTACCCAATTTGTACCTGATCCCTGACTTCGTCCTTTGAAGTTCCTGTGCCTGCTGACTATCCATTACTACCTAAGGTGGAGAGCGGACCATTGTAGCCTTGTTCTGGGCTCTGAAGCGCTTCTTGAATTTCCATCTTGTAAGTGCAATCTATAAACTGCCGTGTCTCATAGTTAATACTATACATCACTATGTATTGTTTGTTTTTTATGTTTTAGAATATAGCTGTATCCCAATCTTTGTATTATTCACTTGAGTACGATACCCCACATTTATACCTTTGGCCATAATCCTACCATTAATTTAACCCCTTAAACAATTTATACTCAAACTCCTAATCCTTCCTCTTAATCCCACTCTGTTATCCTACCACTGAGAGAGTCCCTCTGCTGACATTCTTACAGCAGAGGGATTTCCCAACCCAAACCGTACAGAGTTCTCTGTGAGATCTCCTCATGCTGCAACTCCTGGGCTGCCATAGCACATCTGTTACTCTGTGTAATTATATTCTCAATAAAAATACTTGTAGCTTGTAAAATGTATGATTTCCTTTTTTTTTTTGTCTGTAAAGTGATACCATGTGGTTTTTGCAGAGCTTAGTTTTACAGACCCTTCACTAACTTTTTTTCCCCTTATTCTCAGGTAATATACCAGCTGTGTGCCAGTGCAGAAACCTCTGGGCCCACTATGCGATACCTACGGACGAGCCAGGATTTCTTGTTTTCTCAGCTCCAGCATATTCCCTTTTCTATTAAAGGTAATAAAAAGGAAATAATGATTGCACATCTCAAAGGGTGCTGCTACAGTACTGCTATATGGGCAGTAGTAATCATGAAAACATCTTCATTACATGAACAGTAGTTGAGGATGGATTTATGACACACAGGATCTGAGGGACTCCTGTTTGTTATTTTCAATAACATTGAAAGCGGTACTGCCAGCAACATAAAGCTGCCACCATTACTACAACAGGCTGTTATAGTGATTAACCTGCACCTCTAACAATTGCATTCATTGTTTCTACCTTTAATCACTTTATAACAAGAGGTTAGGTAAATTTCATTGTATTATCATTTATTAACTGTTCGGTTTGAAGAGCCTAAAGGCGCTAATGTATCACTTTTGTATTTCACGGAGTACATAACTATCAATTGGATTACTATAGTGTTTAATGTTGCTGCTATTATATTTCCTGCATCCCTAGAACATGAAATCTCTGTCATGAATCAGATGTCTTGGCTAATGAAGACTGCATCCATTGAACTACGTATCACATCCCTGAACCGTCAGCGCTCCCACACACAGAGACTATTACACCTTCTCTTGAATGACATGCCAATGAAACCATATGCAGGTCTGTATTATTTTAGAAAGAAAATATGCCAAATCTATCTGTAAAATACAATAATTTTCCAGAAGATTTTTGAAGCAGAAGAATTCTAATAATTCCTAGAATTGTTTTAATTTATATCTATATTGAATATTTAGCAGGTTCTAATAAATTCTAATTTAGACAAAGACAGGGCAAACTTTGCAAAGTCGGAGGATGACATATAGAAATATTGTCTGTTTTGATTACAGTGCCAATCCAACCTCTAGTTGCTGTCTCTCAGACAGCCGCTAGATTGTGCTTCCTTGTTCTTAGAGCACAAAAAGTGTTTTAAACGCTCTGCATGTGGACGTCCAGCATCGCCGGAATTCCCATAGGAAAGCATTGAATAATACTTTACTACGGGAGGTCTAACGCGCATGCGCGGACATTGCCACGCATGCGAATTAGGTCTCCCCCGCCGGTGGGCGGAGTTGAGCCAGCGCCGAGGGACATCGTTATTAACCCCTTCAGTGCCACGGGAGGGGGCCTTAACTAAAGGTGAAGCTATAGTACCAGGAAAACAAGTGTTTTCCTGGCACTATAGTTTCCCTTAACCACACTTCCAACATCCATTAAAACAAATTATAAAAGGTGGAGGAAACAACCTGGTGAACCAAAGGGAACTGGAGTTACCATAATTTAGATATATTTAGTGACCTACATAAATGTACTACTTTACTGCTTAACAAATTCTTTAGATACCTCCAGATACTCTGTTTTATCCAGCACAACCCAGGTAGGGACGATTCCCCCCAATCCCATTTTGTCCTCACTAGTTACTCTTACGACTAAGTGTGTATTAGCAAAATTTAGCATTTCTCTCCTAATTAAGAATTACCTAGGTACTTGTAAATGCAGAAAAAGGTTTAAAAAAAAAAAAAAAAAAAAAAGTTGAAATGTACGATAAGTCTGAATGGCCATTCTCTTTTCGCATTCTCAGATGTCTAACTCACTGCACTTCACATTTAGAATTACAGTACAAAGTAATTGTGAGATGCTATCTAGTCCTGGCTAAACATCAACAGATTTATGGAGCAACTATTAACACTTGCTGGAGAGGCTGTGGGGAGCTAGAAACGATGGCTCGCATATGATAGAAATGCCCCCTGATCACACTCTGATGGAATAGTATAGATTTGTGTGATGCCCAATGAGACATAGAGTAGGTCCAGATACAGGAATTCTGTGCACATTTTTCCATCCAGCATGTTGAAACCCCTCAAGCAACGGCTTTGCCATGTCTCCATAGCTGCAGAAAAAACAGTCACTCAGTGGAATACTACCACAATCCAATCCCTTTCTCAGGTGTCAAGAATACTGTTCAAGTGGTTTCTTCTGTGAGACCTACTCCCATGCCCTATTTTCTAACTATATTCCATAAAATCTGAGATACTCTTTGAAGGGGGGTGGGGAATGGAGTTGGATCGAGGAGGGGACAAGCGGAGAACTTTACATGAGTTGTGAGACAGCAGACTAAATGTTTTCTTTTCATGTATGAGTTATTGTTTGTACTTTTTATGTTTCCACTTGTTATTCTGGAACTAACGTCCGTATCACCTCAGATAATACTAAGACACATTGTGAATTGACCGTTGTACAGAAAATTGACCTGTGTTAATTTATAACTGAACTGCCTTTGCGTATCCCATTATGAATGTAGATTCTCAAATACCTGATTGTGAGGTGATCACCTCTAAAAATTATTGATCATTACGTTGTACTTGATCTTTAAACCTTAAATAAAATTACAATTGGTAAAAACAGTTTCCTTATTACACAAACATTCCACTGCAACAACTACTTAAAGTGTTGTGTTGGTATCCACTAGCTCCCCGTATGCTTCCAATTTCATCTAGATAAGAGTTGTGCCAAATGCATTTCTATGCAATGTAACAGACACATTTCTGGCACTGAAAGAGTTAGTCCCTGGAAAATCAGAGATTTTTTTTTCCATTTAAATATCAAATTAGAATTTAGCTATTAAAAATGCAGAGTGCACTTAGTAGAAAAAATACACCACTTAAAGTAAACCCAGATTTAGAATTTAGCTATTCGTTGTACTAATGTTTGTTTGTTTTTCCTCACTTTGAAATATTTCTCCATTCCTACAGCAGATGGAGAAGGAGGATTAGAAGAAGAAAGCCGAGCTCTAAGTGGAATCCTAAATTTTGACACCACCTCAAAAGGTATTTATCACAAGGTTCTGTTCATTTCCTTTGAGATATGATGCCTCCTTTTTAAAACCTTCTAGATCATTCCTCCTATATATATCTTGGTATTAAACTTGGTCACACATTCTTTATCCTCAGGAAGATTTTCTTTTCGTTTCCTTTTCTGTTTGATTCTTATTTTTCAACAAACTTTTCCTTTCTAAACCTGTTACTCCAGATTGTATTGAACTGCAACATCAAATGAATTTACCTTTTTTTTTTTTTTTTTTTTTTTACACCATCTTCTTTAGTTTTTTTGTCACTCACAGTAACATTGATGTATTAGATGGCACTTAGGGGTGAATTTATGGTTCCTAGTAGCTTTCATGTACAGTGCTTGCATGCAGATTGTGCTCTTGTGAAGGACAATAATGTTGCCCCTTTACGCATAAGCAAATTTGTCATTGTGAACAACCAAATACTATATTTTTTATTTTTTTTTTATTTACAGTACAATGTATAGGCATATTAATTGTGACTGCTGGACAATACGATATTTTTGATGTAAATGACACTTTAACTTCTCTAAATCTTGCAGTTCGTAGAAAGATTCTGAAGATCCTAGACTCCATTGACTTCAACCAAGATATCCCAGAGCCCCTGCAGTTGAATTTCTTTGACCGTAATCAAATAGAACATGTTGTTGCTTCCTGTGAACAAAAGGATAGCAGAGGGCAGATTATCTGCAGTGTTAAGGTGAGCAGCCTATGGTAGGTGTATACGTACACATATATATATTCTTGATAGGTCATTTTATAGTAATATCTGTGGTTTTCAGTTTCTGCATCGGGTTCTGGTGGCGGAGGTGAACGCCTTGCAAGGAATGGCTGCCATTGGACAGAGACCTTTACTCATGGAGGTACAGATTTATTTATTTTTTCCCAAAGATATCAATCTGATTTTATTCATGATTACACTTTTGTTTACTAGCTTTTATTTATGTACAGATTTGTTCAGGAAGGTAGCCACAGACCACAGAAAGAATTATACAAAACACGTTGTGTGGTAATGACTCCCTTGCAAAACGTTTGTTGTAGAAGAGCATATATGTCTTTGCAGGCCTCAGCAGAGTTGTTAGATAACCTGGAGACAAGCTGCCCTAATTTTTAAAGTCACAAAGTCAATGTGCAAATTTTCTTCAAGATCCTGTAAAAAGGATGACCAATATAATACTGTAAGCAGACTATCCTGTAAAACCACTTATCTATTAATTTCTTAAAAACCCATAACGTTTCATTCTTTCTTCGCAATATGGTCTCTAAAGATCCTTTGATGGCATGGAATATTTAGAATCTTTCCGCTGCCCTGCTGATGGTAAATCACTGGTACCTTTCTATAATTTCTTTAAGACTAGATTGTCATGACAAAATTGTCCTGCCTTTATTCATTGAGTAGAAAAATACTTTTTTATATTGTTTTTAAATTTTCAATTATATTAAGAATGTACTGCTGCTTTATATGTATGGTAGATGATCGTAAAAAAAAAAAGACACAATTGTTAACTTTTAATAGAATAGGCCATAGAGTTTGATCAAAAAGGCATAACAACCATAAATTTATAAAGGATTAGCCAATAACAAATATCTTAAAACATTGTGTAACTTTTATTTTATTAAACTTCACCAAATTACCTTTAAGTCCTAGATGACCTGACTTTTAAAATTAAAGCTTTCCTTTGAATGTAAACCCTTCCCCGTTGCTTACAAAACACCACAACAAATAACATTCAAATGGAAGAGAGGGGATCTGTTTGTGCCGCTCTCACATCCAAGGAAAAGGCTAACCGATCTTAACGATTTGAGAAACAGGGACAGAGGGATTGAGGGACTTGCTCAATGAGCTTACATGCTAGAGAGAGTGGACTATAATGACACAAAAGATAAGGGTAGGTTAGAAAAGTAGGTTGCTAGGATAGTATTTACTGAGGGCTTAGTGTTTTGTTTTGATGACAATTGCAGGAGACGAATCAGGGTGCAAGGAGGGAAAACTGTTGACAGTTTAATTGATATGCTTTCCTGAAGAAGTAAGTTTTCAAAGATATTTTGATGGAGTGGAGACTGGGGGATAGGCGTTCCATAGGAATGGTGCAGTTTGAGAGAAGTATTTATGCATATGCCACAGTGCAAAATACCTATACGCCTGAGTCAATAAAAAAATATGAATTGCACAAATGGTTACGCTTCACACTTTTGCTTTAGGAAATAAATACTATACTCCAATATGTTGTGGAGAGAAACAAGTTGCTGCAATGCCTCCATGCCAAACGTCACGCTCTGGAGTCCTGGAGGCAGTTGGTGGAGATCATTCTGACAGCCTGTCCGCAGGACCTCATACAGGCTGAACAAAGACAACTTATCATTCGGGATCTGCTTCAGGATGTGCATGAAAAGGTAACCTAGAACCAAGACTGGTGGTTGATTTTATCTGCTTAAAGTTAATATCTTATTTAGTATCTTATTCACTAGTAAGTAGTTAAAATCCTATTTAGTAAGATTGCCTAGGCCTGTAGATTTGTTGCTTGGAGCAATTCCCTAGACAGACCATTGAGATATGCACAGTTAAAGAGTGTATGTGGTTCATCATTTGTTCCTGCTTCTTAAAAACCTCCCCACAGGAGTGTTGGAGGTCCTTAAAGGCTCTCGGGATAACTAACATATATTGCTTTTATGCTGTTGGTTTACATATTCTATATTCTGTAGAAGAAGTTATGTTAAAGTGATGCTGTAGGCAACCAGACCACTCCATCCAATTGAACTAGTCTGGAAGAAGTGCCCATGTCCCCTTAATCCTACAATACGAAACATTGTCTCACAGGCAACCACTAGAGGCACTTATGGCATTCTCCAAGAAACAATGTTGAGAGATTAGTATTTTAAAGAGAGGGGTGGGAGTATAGTTATTGATGGTCAAAGGGCAGAGACAGGCATGAACCCAATTGGTTAGAGAATTAGAAATGCCAGAATACCCTGCCCATAAAAGCAAAGAGATAAAGCAATAAGACCTTTATTGTTATCTACAAAAAAAAAAGAGTATATATGTTGATTGATACGCGGTTGTATTAAAGGGGTTTAACTAAATAGGTATATAATAAAATAAAGAAAAAATGTAATATTTACAAATTATGAGGGAAAGGAACTAAATAATGAGAAATCAGAAGTATTGGTTGAGACAGAACCCAAATTACCAAACAAATTGTTTATTGTCTAGTATCCTCAAGAAATTGTGGTTCTGAATCTCTCTGGTGCTGATTTTACTTAGGACATACAGGTGATTATATCTCTGAGTCAAGCAGTGCAATTTATCTAAAGCACTGACACTATGAGCTTCTACTATTAACCTCTAAAGAGCAACAATTTATCTGGAAAGGTTGTTACAAAAAGAGGGAAACTCCACTAAGTTGCACTCTGCAAAGTCATGGTACACCAAAAGTGTCACACCAAACCGTAAGATACAATGTTATTATGTTCATGAAGAAAAAACTAGAGAATACTGCCCAGTAAGGATTCTATTCTGTGCCTTCGAGGGCACCTGTGCTTGTAAAGTAAGCAAAAAGCTAACAATTGCTAAAGAGAGCAGTTTTGGATCAATCTAGTTATACCCGGACTGGAAATGTGATACTATATGTGATATGTCTTAATTGAAGTCAGTAAGTAGAAACATCAGTCTGGTCTCAGGTAACAAATGGGCCTCGATGCGTGTTTTGCCGGTAAGGTGGGTCTTTAGGGTGGTGGTTAGGCAGTAAGGTGTAATTGGGTACAAAGTAGATAACTAGAAAAAGGGTGAGAGCATGGAGAGATATGACCTCCCTCTCCAGACATCTCAGATTATACCACGAGAATTAAGCCACCGGCATTCGTTTTCTGGGCCTTGTGTTTATACCCAAATCACAGCGGAAGGGGGACTGGGACCAGAGGCTTCGACAGAAAGAGAGTCCTTCTGGATTTATCTGAGCACCATGTCCCCCATGGTTTAAATGAGGGGGTTTCATTCTCCAATTCATATAATCTGCATCCTATGATGAAATATTATCTATTTTTTGTACCATTTTATTATTAGGATTATGGTTTACACACTCTGTTTTCAAATGATTTTTGTTTTCTGGTAGCACTGTGTAATACCTTTTATTAGCTTTATCATTTTACTCTTGGTGACCATCTTTTCATTGGAATTCTTTGATCCTTATGGGTTAAATAACTTCTGTCATATCCTGGATATTATTCCTCATAGTTGGAATTAGGGCAATGAATAAAGAATACAAAGGGGCATATTGCTGACATTGGGGGATAACAGATTGGATGTGTTTTGTGCCCACTTTCATTCTATAGTGTCTCCACTAGGGGGAATAATGGTCATGTATAGGGACTCGTGAATGTGGATAACCCACGAATCCAAACACTAGATAACTAAAGCCCTATATAGCATATCAGACACAGACAAGTCCCTTCTTAAATAGAAATGAAAACAAATATAAACTAAACAACTTTATTATCATAATAGATATAAATGAGACTAAATTAGTCAGAATAGGTTTAAAAATGTGTAAAAGAAAAAAGACTTTCTGGAAGTAGGGAATACACTTGACCCTCCTATCAAAATAAATCTAGACTTTGTAATAGCAGATTCTACTAACATATCATAAAAATGAGCAATTTGCCAGTGACCACAATCAGGCTTCCCTGTTGACTAAGGGGCCATCAAAATGTATCTTAATTATAATTCTTGCAACAATGTAACAAAATGGAAAATTTACTAATTAAGAGACAGCCCCACTGGCAATATCCAGTCTGAAATGTGTTCCAACCACAATTATAAACACTTATCCTTATGTCGAAAAAAATAATAAATAATTGAATAAGAAGCCCCACAATAGTATAAGTAGTATAGGATAAGAGCGTTAATGCTCTCGTTATAAACTGCTACAATTGCTTACCAGCAGTGTAGCTAACAACCAGGGCAATCAATCACCTTTACAGTTTAAGCATACCTTATCACCAGCTACCTAATTAAATCGGTAAATTAAAACACTCATAATATGCCCAACTGAAAAGTGAATAACGTGCATTAAAAAACAGAATAAATGGCCGACGCGTGCTTTGGCGCCACTATTGCACATTTGTCTGGGGCAGAGCCGTTTCTGCGCTACTATTGCACATTTATCTGGGGCAGAGCCGTTTCTGCACTACTATTGCACATTTATCTGAGGCAGAGCCGTTTAAGGAGCAAGGCATTAAAAAAAATACATTCAAGTGATCCTCTCACGACAGCTTAACTTTTAATAACAAAATATGTTCAGTGTTATTCTCAATACCTTTGTTTGATTGCAAAAGATAAAAGCAAAACATTGCAAAACCTTTACATTTAGCTCATAATACATGAATATTGAAAATTCTGTTCATCAAAATGTATATAATCAAACGGCAAAACATTTTGTAACGGATTCAGTAAGTCCGATTCAAATTAGATTAAACAGGAAGCCGTAAAGATGTATTGCTGAAATGGTTAGTTTTATTACACTTTTTATTTTTATAATTCCATGCTATAATTACTTGTACAGATACAATATAAAACTTCCAAAATGGAAACATGGCATTCCTCTTACAAGGGATGTATTTTGTTTTGCCCAGTACTTCATCCTCTTACTTTAGTTAATAATTTGAGATGAGAATTGAATTTGGTGTATAAAGAACAAATCTGGGGTACAGTTCCTATAGTGGAGCAATACTTGTGGAAACCAAACGTGATACTTTTAATTTACTCATCTTATATCTTTTTCAGATCCTGGATGATGATGCGGCACATGAGTTAATGCCAGTAGTTGCTGGCGTGGTATTTACTCTCACTGCGCGTTTAAGTCAGTCCATTCGCACTGAGCAGAAGCAGCCAATAGCAGCTTCTGGATTGAGTCAGACTCAGTATGTCTCAATGTTGGACGGTTCCTTCTTTGCGCCTTCTGGACCAGAATCTATATCTGCTGGATTTGCCTCAATAGGGGACTCTTCATTGCATATGATTCTGCGAAAACTGTTGGAGTTCATTCTAAAGACAGGTGTGTATTCGTTTGCATTACTAACCTTCCAAGCAACAACCCCACATTCTGTATTTAACCTTGGTAGACCTATCCCCTAATACAATTATTGTAAGGGATGTCTTATGCATTTATTTGAATCTGGTATATTTATTTGATTTTTGAATAACTCTGTTCTAAGCCAGGAGTTAGGGGAGGGGGAAAATGATAGATCTCTAGATGTTACAGATCTACACATTTTATAATGCTTTGTTCTAAAAGCGGTCAAAACATAATTTGACCTGTAGTTCTACCTTGTGTGGGGATCTACTTTTTGGAGCAATCTTTTCTGATTGACAAACACATTTTGGATGTTTTGTATGGATGGATTAATTTTATTTTGGACCCTGTGATTATATATAAAGTTCACATTAAGCACAGAAAATTTATATATTTTACAGTTAGGGCATTGCATGAAATCAATCAACTTGATCAATGCATCATTGAATTATGTAGATCTGTACATTTTTTTTTCTTTCAATCAGCTGGTGACATTTACTACATCACCCGATGTAAAAGTAATGAAGAAAAAATCCTTGTATTAGTAGTATTTAATATACAATAATTACAATATTACATAAAAAAGACATATTAATTAATAAAGAATACACTCTGCATGGGATCTTTTTAAACCTTTATTTATTTATATTTTATAAGTGTTCTGAGATCAGAGACTTTTCACATGACTCTTTAGGCATCACTTCCTTCCACATCGCAGGAGAAACTAGAGGAAGATCATATATTTTGTTTCTGCAATGAATATATTTATTTTCTATTACCGGTATGTGGTGCATTGCACAAGTGAAATTAATTACATCTACCCTCCCCGAGTGAATGTCCATGTATACATTTGTTATGCTTAGAAAACTAAATATATCACCTAGTGCAGATACAGGTTAATACAGAAAGTGCAACGGTGCAGAAAGTATATTTTTTTAACTGTGTTCAGTTTTTGACAGCTTGTCATGGTGTTCAAACTAATGTCAAACCCTTTTGGCGATACATTGGCATGTGTAGATTTAATAATGTCCTGTGAAAGACTTTATTATGTTTCATAGATGTAAATATATAATATTACTAGCAGAATTAACATTAAGAATATTTGCACACACTATGAGCAGGTGGCGGATACCAACGTGTACGAGCACACTTGTATGGATCACTGCTATATTATCTTCAAATTGCACAAAAACCGGACGAGCCTGACACTTTGGAAACAGGTTGGTGGAAATTTATTCCAAGAAATATTTGAAATATTTTAGTTTATGTTGTCTGCTTTGAAAGTTCACACAATTTAAAAAGAAAAAAGTAAATTAAAAATATATATATATATATAACTATTATGTGGATAAATAGCTTTTGCATCAGTTTTTCTGCTTGTATCTGTTAACTTCTAGAGTATTGTAGGATAGCATATGTTTTGAATTATTTTTTATTTTATTTTTTTGTGATGCTAAGTCAGATTTTATGCTGTCACACTTAATTCATAGATATCTGCTGTACCAAAGTTAGCTGTCTGTGTCAGACTCCGTTTTTTTCTTTTTTATGTACAGATTTACTAAAGAGTGATTACTGTTTAACATTTGTCCTTATTAATAAAAAAAACTGTGCTTTTCAATATTACCATTATTTCACTACTATATTTTTATTAAGCTACATTTTTAAAATGTAAACACTTTATTTTAGTAGACATTACAAAGTTGTGATAGCACTGGATTTTTATATATTTGTTTACACTCATCCTGAGAAAAGTCTCTATACAATACAACGTAAACAGAGCTTAAAGCAGTTCTGTCACTTTTCCGATTTTCGCAAATATATAATTTCTTTGAAATTCTGACACAATCGACAGATACACATGAGATGAAGTGGGGACTACTTTGTTTCATATGATTGCCAATCTGTGTCACTCTTTGGTAAAAGGTGACCATCAATTGCAATGGTTTGCGGCAAGAGGCATCATCTTGAGTGATGCTCAATAGATGCCTATGGTGCCTTTTTATGCATGTGCGAGACAATCTGTGGAAGGTCTTGCCGATTGTCTCACACAGCAGCAACATCCTGTTTTGGACTCTAGCATGCGCAAGACTACAGCATTGATGACCACTCATGCCATGACATCTCCACACAACTATATGTGTCACCTTGTGGGGTCTTTGAAACAAATGCAAAACCTCAAAAGTAACAGTGCCACTATAACAATATGTTGTCACACTTAAAAGAACACTATAGTCACCAGAACCATTACATATTAAGGTAGTGATTCTGGTGTCTATAGCCTGTCCCTGCAGGCTGTGCACTGTATATGCTGCCTTTTCATAAAAAAGGCAGGGTTTACATTGCTGCCTAGGAACATCCGACGACCACTAGACTCGCCACTAGACATGTTCTACATGGAGGCACTGAAATTTACCATAGAGATAAATATATGCAATGGATCTCTATGAGGAGATGATTGGCTGAAGGGGGTCACCTAAATAGTTAACATGATAGTATCAGTAATACATATTTGTGTTCTTTAAGAACCAGTTGTATTTAGACATTTGTAAACAAATACTGGTTTTGGAGAGTTCTGCAGAGAGTATATATTTCACTTACGCTAATTTTATCTATATTGAATATATTTTATTTATGGTATATAAAAGTGGCATGATATTTATGCTTGTTGTTTTTTTAGCTCAAAAAACTATGTGGGAGCGACTAACTGCGCCTGATGATGTCTTCACGAAGCTACAGCGGGATAACTTGTCGATCTTTGAAAGCTACGGCACCATGCTAATGGAGGTTCTTTGCCGAGATGCTTGCGATGGACATGAGATTGGAAGAGTATGTTTATATATTTTAGGACAGACTGTAATAACTGTTCCTCATGCTAACTGTGGGTCAAGGTTGGTCAAAAGGTGTGTCCCCAGACCTGCAGCTACCATTATTCTTTACTCGTTGAAATACTGATAAGGAATCATGGGTATTTGGTATATTGGAGATTTAACAAAACTGGTGATTTTTCATTGGCTTTCACTGCACTATTTTATCATTTTCTCACACATAATATATTACTTTTGTAGATGCTAGCGCTGGCCTTATTGGACCGGATCGTCTCCATTGATAAGCAGCAACAGTGGTTGCTATATCTTTCTAACAGTGGATACTTGAAGGCCCTCGTTGACAGCTTGGCTCAGGATGACATCACTTTGCAGAGCCTGATTATGCCACAGGCCCCGCTTCTGAAAGCTCTCTATATTTATGAATCCAAAATGGTAAGAAGTTTTATATAAAAACACAATCTTTGTATTATTAGAACACAAATATTAGCTGTATTTGCAGCGCTACTAGGTTTTGTTTACAATAAAATTAAGGATTCTACATGCTGTTGCCTAAATCTGCTTGTTTTGTTCATGGTTTTCATGGTTTTCCTTTTATTCATTTCATTCTGTCTGTTTGGGAGCGCTATGTGTTTTTAGCATGTGCTTCAGCTCTTTTCACTTTTTATTTTTTATGCTGGTTGCTTCGCTTACAAAGCAAAGGCTTCTTCTCATTTGGCTGGAATTGCTGTTGTTTTGAACTGCTAGGCTCATACACTATTTTGTTGGACTTACCAGCGGTTACACATGAGTATTTTGAACTTAGCCCTCTTATTTACTTTATTTTTATATAGTAAAATTCGTAATGCCAAAAAAAAGATTCTACTTCTTAATCAGCAGGCCATTCTGAGTTTCTAACCATTTTTTTTTTTTTCCTCTTAGGCATTTTTGACCCGTGTTGCTAAAAGTCAGCAAGGAGCCCTGGAACTTCTGAGGAGTGGGGTAATCATTAGACTAGCACAATGCCAGGTTTTCGACATGCGTCCAGAAACTGATCCCCGCGGGTTAGTACAAAATCTGTATATGACATCTGTTTTTTAAGTACTCAATGTAGTAATTGCTTGTAAATTAACAAATAAAAATCAGAAGTAAAATGCACACCATCTCATAAAATAGTATGCAGTAGACATATTATTTTATACTACATACTGAATAAAAAAAATCCTCTGTGCTACATTTTACTATGTGTGATATATATATATATATATATTGTTTTTGTTTTTATCTTCAGAGTATATGGTATGAGAGAAACAGCTGGGTTTATCCCTGCTCCAGTGGAAAGATACAGGCAAATTTTACTGCCTGCGCTTCAACTGTGTCAGGTGATCCTGACTTCAAGTATGGCACAACATATGCAGGCAGCAGGACAGGTAAGATGATTATTTATTAAGTGTAGTACTCTACAATAGTTGGACTAACAAACAAGTAGGTCCAATAAGTACATTTTAACATACAGGAATGGAAGGTGGTATGAACCCTGTTCAGTGAGCTTAGATTATAAGGGGAGTGTGGTCAGATGACACAAGAGGGTAAGGGGGGGGGGGGGAATATTTAGTTTATGTATGGAAAAGTAGAGGATGGTTTGGAATCTGGTGAAATGATTAATTTTCATATGGGATTCTGGAGATCAACCTTGGTAGTTAACAGTTAGATTTTTTTTTTTTTTTTATAGGATTGAGTACGTTTATTTTACGGTGTGTCATTTTTCTCTCTTGACAAGGTGACAACAACTTACAAGGTTATTTACTAAAGTGAGAAATGTTGGGAATTGAAAATTATTTTTTTATTTAAGCCCAAAATAGCTCATTTGGAAAAAATCTCCAGGTTAACTGTGCTATTCTAAAATTTGTAATTCACTTTGATGTCCCAACAATTCTCAGTTAAGTGGATGTCCTTGATTGTATGTAAATAACAGGATATTCTTCTATACTCATCATGAATATGTCGACAGATGTGTCATTTCATTGTTAACTTCCCCAATGCTGCTGACTGGAATGAGTAAATTCATAATTGTGTAGCCCAAAGCCAAGCAAGAGAATTAACATGATCTCCACTGTGTCTGGCAGGTGTTGCAGTTCCTGATTGTTCATTCGGACACCATACAGGCAATCCTCAGGAACCAAGAAGGAAGTCTGGGCTCCTTGCAGGAACTTGCTCTGCTGACTGGTGTAATCAGCAAAGCAGCCCTTCCAGGTGAGATTTGTTGGACATCGAAAGAACAACTGAACTTTTTGGAAACTATTCGCCGAAGTTCATTTTTTTTTTTATTGACTCACAAAATTTAGCTCATTTTTGTGTATTCAGATTTGACTTGGGTATCTCAACATGGCTAAATATTTACAGATTTCTAAAACTAGTTTGTTTTGGCTTAAGTGGCGACTTGTCTTTGTACTTGATTGAGGGAATGTCAGCACACCATGCATCTGTGTTGTACAAATCTTAAAAGTTAAGTCAAGACAGGTCTCTGTTAGCCACATCATATACTTTCCCTGTACAGTGTAAATGACACTCCATGAGTGTCACGGAAAATTACATCATGCATAATTTTTTTCTATATTACTGTAATATTCTTAATTAAAGCTTCCCTAATCTATTGGTTCTACCCCCAACTTTTGAATCTAGAAGAACATATTCCACTGTAGCATAACTTGTGGTTTTGTATATTGAAGGTGTTCTCAGTGAACTGGATGTCAACGATGGATCAATTGTTGAATTACAAGGACATATTGGTCGTTTCCAGGTAATGTTTTGTTTAGTATAAGTCAGTATTTTTTTCTAATTCCCAAGCACAGTTCTAGTCTTTGTTCAATCTCTCAATGACATTCATACTTTTGATTCTTTTCTTTCTTGCCTTTGGGGCCATTTTGTTATTGTTAAGAAAATATACTTACCTAACAGAGCTTCACAGCTGCTTTTTCAGTCTCCCTTTTTTTGGTGAAGATTTTTCAACAATCAAAATCCTAAAAAAGAAAACAAGAACTAAAGTGTTATTTTTCTACCTTTCTGTCAATTATAAACATTATTCAGTAATTGAGAATTTTATATATCTAGAGAGAGAGTGTGTGTGTGTGTGTCTCTCTCGCTTTTTGGGGACTTATTTAGCAGATTTTGGCAGTTTTTGTGAATAAGTGTTTTAGAGTTTTTTTCGCCATAGAATTGGTTATGATTACTATTGAAAGGGATACTCTATGCACCATAACCACTACAATGCATTGTTGTAGTTATGGTGTCATGACTCCCCTGGCTGACCGTAAGCTGTCATACTATTTTGGGAGCCACTAAAGCATGCTATGGAGTTATCAGGGTGCATAAAATGAACTAGTTTGAAAAAAAAAAAAAAAAGAAGTAATCAGTGCATTGGCAAAGAAAAATATATATTATTACTTAACAAGTAATACAATTAACTGTTTAGTGAGTGTGCCACAAAAATTAGAACTATTAAAATATATATATTAGTACGATATTAGTAAAATATAGTACATTATTTATATGAAATAAAAAATATATAAATTAACTAATACAATTATAAAGTTAAATAATGACAAATTACAACTTTTACATTAAAAAAAAAAAACACAAAAGGCTATTTACAGTTCTGAAGTCTCCTGCAGTGTCCAGTCTATCTTTTTTCTCTTTCATGCCTATGTGAAAGATAACCATATTTCTCTCCATGATGGTTCCAGCAGGGAAAGGGGCTCACACGCATAGGTTATTAGAGGTCAATGTAGGCTTCCTGTATTGAGCTCAAGGGAACATGCTGACCGCAGGACACAGGCTGTAAAAAGAGCTGACTTAAATTTGGCCTCCAACCAGGAAGCTCCATCTAGTAATGCTTTTCTGGAGATAGTAAACATTCCTGTTTCTATGAAACGGCAATCATTTACACTGCAAGAATGACAAGGTCACTGCAGAAAGTGGTGCTTATAGTGTTCCTTTAAGTAACTTAAAAACAAATTCATATTTAATATGAATGTTTTCCCGTCATATTTTATTTAGCAACAGAACAACACTAAATATGTTGAGTTTTCAAGGAGCCTCAATTTCTTGGTTTAGCCAGTTTTTTCACGTTACAGCAAGTAATTGTAATACGTTTGCTTTTCTGCAGCGCCAGTGCCTTGGATTGCTGAATCGTTTTGGTGGATCTGATAAACTACGCCAGCTCAGTTTACAGGATGATGCATCTCAGTCTGACAGAGTGAGCAAGAAAGATGATATGGAACTGGCCATGCAGCAGGTGACAATTCATTTTAACCTTAAGAAATGGACAAACTAACTTTGTCTTTTGTTTGTGGAAAAACAAATTTGTAGTAACATTCTGTGGCTGATCACTTTTCAAACCATGACACTGATATATTTCCCTACTTTATTTCTACATGCAAAGCTAACATGCCTGCTGACATTTTTCACAGATACCTTTCCCCACTTTACTTCTACATGCAAAGCTAACATGCCTGCTGACATTTTTCACAGATATGTTGCAATGTAATGGAGTACTGCCAGGCTCTCATGATGCAGAGCTCACCTACGTTCCAGCAAACTGTGTGCCTTTTCACACCCAGCCTCACAGAGACAGCAAGCAGGGATGGGCCAAGACCAGGTAAGACAAAGACATGTAATTTGGGGGTGGGGGAGGGCATTTTTTAGAGTCTAGAATAGTCATATTAAACATACCTGTTCTACTTCTGGTATAAACATCAAAGCAGATGGTTACATGAACCATCTTCCTGCCTTTACACTTTGTGTAGTTTGGCTGTGTTTTACTAATCAAATCTGTTTAGATGGAATTATAAAAGACAAGCTGAGGATGTATTAAGGACATACTATATTGCTTTTTTTTCACATTCCACCATTGGTGACTTTTGCTTAAAGGTGACCACAAAATCTGAAGGTTGTCTTTCATAAAATCATGTGTTTGAGACAATTAAAAACTTCTCTAACCTGTGAATGAGGACATTTAGAGTTTTTAGACATTTGTGCTTTTAGTTTTGACCTATTGGTTTAAAAAGGTCGAATATATTCACCAGACAATTGCCAACAATAAGTTTGTTTACTCTAGTGGCATTGCTTTCCCAGTTCGGTGGAGGCCACTTTGATACTGGGAAGTAGGGATCGACCGATATTGATTTATTTTTCTTTAGAGCTGATACCGATAATCTGTGAACTTTCAGGCCGATAGCCGATAACTGTACATTTACCATTTTGAAAAAATAGACTATTTCTAAAGGTAAATATACAAAATATACATGCCACATGTAGTGGATGCAGTGTGTTTAGACAGGGAAGCTGTGTCTGTTTGTGTGTGTGTGTGTGTGTGTGTGTGTGTGTGTGTGTGTAATGAATGCAGTGTGTATTTGGTATTTGTGTAGTGTGTGTGTATATAATGAATGTAGTGTGTATAGTGAGTGTTTGTGTAGTGTGTGTATATAATGAATGTAGTGTGTGTATAGAGAATGTAGTGTGTGTACTCTGCATTCAGTATATACACACACACACTACACACACTGCATACACACACACTCTGCATTCACAGTGCGTAAAGTGAATGCAGTGTTTATAGTGAATGCAGTGTGTTTATGTAGTGTGTGTGTGTATATACTGAATGACGTGTGTTTATGTAGTGTGTGTGTGTGTATATACTGAATGCAGAGTGTGTGTGTTTGTGTATTGTGTGTATAAAGAATGCATTGTGTGTATGTAATGAATGCAGAGTGTGTGTGTATGTACAGTGAATGCAAAGTGTGTGTGTTTGTGTAGTGTGTGTGTGTTTTTGTAGGAATGTAATTTGGGGGTGGGGGTGGGCATTTTTTATTTTCTATTTTTGTAAAAAAAAAAAAAAAATTTAGTCCCCCCTCCCTGCTTCTTATTTTGGCCAGGGAGGGGGGGATATGACATTCCCTGGTGGTCCTGTGGCATGGACTGTGCAGTGGGGGCCAGCAGCAAGCTACCTTCCCTTCAGCTCCCCTGTCTAAATGTCGGGACTCGCGAGAATTAGACAGGGGAGCTGAATGGAGCTGCTGGGAAGGTAAGTAAGAGCATGCTGCGGGCATGTTACAAAAATCGCTTTGATAATATGAGGACAGTTATACAGTTTAATATGGATTTATTTGTAAACATTGTGAGTTTGGTACATAAAACTACTCACAGATTTAGCTTTGAATAAATGAGGTGCAAAATTATGGCCATTGTCAGAATTTTTAGCTTTACTAGCTCATCTGTTCTTTACTTGTTATTGAAAACTGCTTGTTGACAATATTGCATAAGTCACAATTATATGTTGCTCCCAGACACACAAGTTACGATCCTTCCATCTTGGAGGCTGCCTAGCTTGGGAATTGTGCTGTACCTTTTGAAACAGAGTGCCAATGACTTCTTCACATACTATGACATTCACCGGCAGAGCGTCAGCAAGCTGCAGAATGTCGAACAGCTGCCACCAGATGAAATCAAAGAGGTATGTGAGTCTGAATACTGCAAGGAATACTTTGTGTTCAACAAGGGTCTATAATCTGTTACTGTGCAACTGTATAAAAAGGTGTGGAAGATATTAGATAATAGGCTAAGTTTAATTAAAATCTAATCATTCAAACTGTATAAAAGTGGTGATTAAGTACCTCTTTCAAAAAGATTTAATTTTCATATGGGTTATATTTTTCACAAGTTAAGAAAAATGGGGTTGACATTTCATTCTGGCACATAATTTTGCTTTAATTTATCAACCTTTTATACTGCATGCCACTGGTAGGATGAGATTCTGTAAATAATGGACAACAGAAATTCTCAAGGGATCTGTGTTAAAGAAACAATTTTGTATTGGCCACAGGGGGTTTAGGATTTCCCTAATAAGTATGCAGTAGTACAAATTTTAGCATTATGCTTCTCCTGCATGATGATAGTGGGATTTATTTAGAATTTAAGTTAATGTGCCCTTAGCTTCCAAATGTTAAGCCATTTGAACAAAGGCTGCTACTTAGAACAAAATGTTTGTCCCTGTTGAACTTGCATAGCATAATAGATCCCTTTATCTCAGTAGAGAATTCCTTTTTCCAAACTGCAACAACTCTGCAATTCTTTTCCAGCCTGCAAGATGCTGAGTTACAAGGATTTCTGCATTCTTATATTTAGGGTCCTCTGGTTAATTTGACCCCTGCAGAATTTCGTACAACATATTAAAATAACACTTTAATGTTTATCTACTTTAACCGTAGATTTTTCACAAACATCACGGCCTGGTGATATATAGAGAGAAATCTATATATATCTATATCTATCTCTCTATATATCACCAGGCCGTGATGTTTGTGAAAAATCTACGGTCTTAAGGATGAAGTGCCTGTACTGGTTGTCTGACAGTCACTATACAGATGTTTTAGGCAAAGTGTAAACATTGTCAGTCCAAATGGACTTCAAGATTAGTGGTTTTGGGGCTAAGAATGTCCCTTGCGCACCTTATCAGTAGTCTTATTAAGTTTATATCTGTTGTTTAATGCTTATGGACAACTTGCCTGTCATTTGACATATTATGGGAACCGTGTTACTATATACAAACAGTTGATTTACCTATTGTTTTGTGGCCAATCAAAAATAAAGTGCTTTCTCTCTGTGGGACAAATTTTGCCTTGAATTCTGTACTGTGTGATGGTGATAAAAAAAGATGGTATGAGGAGGTCCCCAAGATTTGCCAATGTCTATATGACTTCAAAAGGTGTATAGTCGTACTTTGTTATAATTTTGTACAAAAATGTTTATTGGAAGCCTTATTTATTTCCTCAATTTCTTTTTTATTTCTTTACTGTAGTTGAGTCTGTCTGAGATGCTCATCGGGGTAGACAAAATTTCCACCACCCAGAAGTATGCCTTGGCGCGGCGGCGACTAGTTAAACTCATCAACCACAAAGCCAAGTTGCTATCAGTTTGCTCATGTATCCTTTTTATTTCTTATTAATTGATTAGGGTAGTTTGAGAATTGTGACTAAGTTAAAATGAGGGAAGGGTAAATAATTCAAAGTGTGACCATCTTAATTACCCTTGCATTTGTTTTTGTTTATTTTTGTGGGGTTGGGGGGTTCACATTGACTATAACACTAGTGAAAAGTCTTGAGTGATATCTCTGAAATCATAGGAGCAGATTTACTAAACACTGAAACAATAACCACATTGCAAGAATAGGCTAAAATAATTCAACTGAAAAAAATTGACATGTCATACTCTGCAATGTTAACCTAAAATTTGCATTTTGGTTATCAATTCAATTTCTTGAATATTTGTTATTAAGTTTTTGGTGTGGAGACTGATTAGACAGGGGCGATTATAGAACTTAAAAACCGCAGGTTCCTCTACAAACCTAGATGTACATGTTACACATACACAGTCAAGTAACTAGACAACTAAACTTGGCACAGTTTGTTCATGTAAAATGGGTGCTAACCATATAGAGGCATTCCTAGCATGCCACACAATCCATTAAATATATGCAAAAGGTGGCATACCAAAACATCTCCAAATATAATAATTATATTCATAATATATTAATTGAATAATGAATACTATAAAAATGAACACAAAAATATAAATACCACATAAAGTCAAATTATGACAGATGCTATTATTAATAAGCATTGATGCTATTATTAAGCAATACAGTAGAATTACGATATAATACTTACTCTAAGTCTCACATGTAAACCTCAACGTTCCAGCACCTAAGAATGTGCCTTTCTCAACACATACAAATATAAACAGATATACACACAGACACTAATTCTTTTATTCTAATTAATTATTCACTCTTTCCTCCCTAAATGCTGATTGCAGAGCCTGTCCAGTGTACACACTACAGACTGATGGACTTCCTTTTCATTATGTGCACTACAGACTGATTTAACGTCCAGCCCAGTGTATGCACTAGACTGCTAGGAAGTCCTGCACAAGCTAGGCAGCATGTACCACTGTTCTGTCTATTTATACTTTGTGTATGCCCTAAAACTAGTTGGTCCTGGTGTATGCACTTGAGAATGTTTGGAGGTCCTATGTGTCTGTTTCTCTCTATTTTCCTTTACGCTTTACCTACGTAGATATTATAGAAACATGTTTGTTCATTCTCTGGCGACATCTTGAGTATTATCTGCTTCACTGTACCCCCAGTGATACCCAGGATACACTTTTCTCAGATACTTCCTTTGGCAACAAACAATTTCAAGGCAAGTATTTTTATGATATAAAAATGTTTAGTAAAATGTAACAGCTACATAAATAATGGGCAAATGAAAATCAGAAAGATAATCTAATTCAAGTATCAAGCTTTATTTGCCAAATCCTTTTTTTTAGTTCAAGATTGGCTGATGCTGGTCAGGAGTTTAACGCCCACCAGTCCCTGGCAGACCTCAACATGTATGTCCCATAACAACTGTGAGATTAAAGGAATGCTAACCTAAACCCCCCAGAAAGTAAAAAAAAAAAAAAGATACATAACAGTGAAGTATTTATTAAGGGAACATAATTACATATCTGTGATTTTTCTGCAGAGTCTCTTCGTACATTTCCCAATGCTGACTTAAGGAACATAGGACAGAACAAAGTGAGCCAGCAAGACATTGACTTGGTAAGTGATTTAAAAACCTTTTTTAGATTCAACATGCATTATTTAAAGGGTAATTTACTAAAGTAAATTTATATGTGAACTTCAAATCCCTAATTTGTCTTATGAAATCTCTTTACTGTGTTAAAATTTTAGTGAAAATCCTAGAGTCTTTGTTTATCTTTGTGAAAAACTTATTTATGAGGGGATGGCAGAGATGCTTTAACTCAAAATGGAAAGAGCTCTAGCATTCTTTATATTTTAGACTTCCTTTCCTCAACATGTAAATTGTAGATTTTATAGAACATAAAAGATGTAGATTGTAGTATGCTTTCTAGTTAAGATTTGTTGAATTCTAACTATATTTTCTGATTTTCAAAGCTCCAGAGGGAAGGAGCAAACAGCTTTGGGGAGTCGCTGCAGAAGAGACTATTGGATATTGAAGGGCTGTACTGTAAAGGAAGATCTCGTCACAGCTTCATCCAAGCCCTAGTCAGGAGGATACGAGGCCTCTTAAGAGTATCGAGGGGCTAACCCTATCTGATAACAGGCCACATGCGCAATTATTCTGTATCTAAGTTATGGACAACAGACTTTTTTCACTTTTTGGGAAAATTCAAAATGAGCAAATATTGTTTGTGACATTTTTTTTTATACTGCCACTTACAAACCAATTAAACATATTTACAATTTTGGACTCTACAGTAAATTGTCATTACTGATCAAGTTCTTGGTACTATATAAAGTTTTTATTTGAATCTCCACAGGCCTCTGGAAGTTTATTAGCAGTGCATTTCCTCCAGTTCAAACTGTTCAGGCTGTTGCTTCTTGATGTTTGATCATGTGCTGAAACTTTTAATCACTTTTTGGAGTTTATCCACTAATCCTTGAGTTGTGGTGAAACATCAACTAGCTTATAAAAATTGAATTAAAAACAGCGTGAGAATGTCCAGCGTCATTTAGGGGATTTAGAGTCTGTTAGCATTCAGGAAGTGGCTGTCAGACAGCCGCTAGAGGCAGTGTTAGTTTTGCAAGGTAATTATTGCAGTTTCTCAACCACTGCAATGATTTACATTGCAAGACTAAGTTGTACTCGGACACTGCACTGCGCATTTCAATGAGATGATGTGGTCTCTGTGACTATAGTGTCCCTTTAAGCTATTGGTCCCAAAATATTGTAGATCTCTCAGATGTCATGGCTTTACTTTGTTGTGATAGACCAGAACTATACATGTTCTAGCATACATTGCATAGTACATGGTTGTCATTGCTATTTTACTCAACTTTATGTAATTCCATTTAATTTTCTGCCATGTTTAAATATTTTTTGGTTAATCCATGATTTCCAAATTCCACTCCATTCCTGCATAGTTTTCTTCATTTTCATCAGTACTTGTACAACATGATTATGAACTTCCTACTTATGTCATGCAAGTCACTCTCCTTTCTGAGAAATTAACCTCATAGCCCTTTGACAGATTAGTTGCTTAAATAAACCATGTATAAACTTGCACAAATGTGTGTACATTCACAGCACAGGTTCTGCAAATTCACGAGACATTTTCACGCTTGGATGGGTGACAGAAAAGCTATGTTTCTCTAGAATGATATAAGGAGTTTAGCAGCTGTGAAATTCCGTAAACCTAATAAATATTTAGATGACTACAGCATATTTGGATCCACCCACATAGCCCTGTACACAGATGGCAGTTTCATATATCTTATATCACTCAGGTCACACAAACCTCTAGTGAGGTTTTTTCTTTAAAGCTCAGATTTGGTAAGAGATGGTTAAAATCATGCCGAAGTATTGTGTAGAATTCAAAATGTTTTCCACCTTCTGTGGAAAACCATTCTGACCTTTTTATTGTTCATATAGTTTGAATATAAGACATAAATAAACTCCTGTACTAGTAAAATACACTGTGCAGTGAAATGTTGTGGGACACTGGAGAGCAAACCTGTGATTATTGGACAGCAACCCCAAACTAGGACTGTTGGCTGTGAAATATAGCTTTGTAACAACCTACGCTAATTATCAGTAATAATAATAATTATATGAAATTGAAAAGCCATAAATGGATGAGAAAATTTAAAAAGAAAATTTATTTTTACTTTTTAACAAAGATAAAAAAAGACAAAAGCATCTATCAAGTAAATGTGAACTTGTTAAAATGTATGAAAGTCAATACAAAAATGCTTTATATTTCATAAAGTGGAGATCTACTGAAAGCTTTTCTGACCAACTCCCCTCGAGCCGCTGGAGGTTTTCCCGGCCACCTGTCTAATGCTTGCTGCTTAATGTTTGTCATCACTGTTATTGGATAAGCACCTATCATTGTTTTGGCTGCCTGTCCTCACACGGATCGCTCAGCTTATCTTCTCAAGTTTTTTCGCTCCTTTGTTCCCATCTGATGCTTGTAGCGGTGAGACCTGCACACGCATACTTTAACTATGATGCCCTTGGGAGCTGCTGATTCGATGTTGTAGTTTTGGGGCTGTACCCTACTGTGATCATGGAGCCTATGCATCTAGGTTTTGAGAAAGGCATGGAGAAAATTGTGCCCGCCACTGAGAGCCATGAGGAGCAGAGCGAAAGAAGCCCCTGGCAGACCGGTAGCTGTGAGGAAGTGTGGTACCTTCCATGAGTGGCCATGGATGGGAGGGACATGGAGTGGCATCCATTTTGCCATACTGGAGCTGTGGTTGGGGACTCTAGGTGGGTGATCCTGTGGACTGGCAAGCCTTTGAGTTCCCGCTGTGCTGCAGAGTTTTAGGTGGGGGGCTTGGTCCGGTTTGGAAGAGGGCCTGCAACCTTGGGGACATCCATCCTGATTTCTATTGACACCCTTATTGCCTGCGTGTGCTTGTCCATCAGTGTTAATTTTGGCAGCACATTTCATTTTAGTTTTAGTCATAGTCTTTGGACTAAAAAGCCATTTTAGTTATAGGATCACTATAGTGTCAGGAAAACAAACCCTTTTCCTGACACTGTCATCCTTGGGGGACCCTCATCCTCAGGGTCCCCTTCCCATGGCGCTGAAGGGGTTAAAACCCTTCAGCAGCTTTCTCAATGCTTTCTATGGACGTTCTACACGCTGGAAGCGAATTTTGTATCCAGCGTCGCAGAACTCCTCAAGCGGCTGTCAGGAAGACAGCCACTAGAGGTTGGATTTTATTAAGACACGGAGGCTCCTATTATGCTGCACTCTTTCTTTATTTACCTCAGCAGCAAAGAAAAATAACATTAACCCCTTAAGGACTGGACTGTTTTTGCGATGTTGTACATTTGCGACCAGGAATATTTTTACACTTTTGTGGTGTTTGTGTTTGGCTGTAATTTTCCGCTTTCTCATTTTCTGTTCCCATACAAATTATATATTGTTTTTTTCAGGACAAAATGGGCTTTCTTTACATACCATTATTTATATAATCTCATGTATTTTAATTTTAAAAAATACAAAAATCTGATGAAAAATTGAAAAAAATACATGTTTTTTGACTTTTACTTGAAAAATCTTTTACTCATCTACAAAAGCGAATGAAAAAAACTGCTAAATAGATTCAAAATTTTGTCCTGAGTTTAAAATTACCTAGTGTTTACGTGCTTTTTTTCTTTTTTTTGCATGTTATAGGGCTATAGGTACAAGTAGGATATTGCGGTTTCAAAACATACATTTTTAAAATTTATCAATAGTGACATTGTAACACTATTATCTGTCATAAATCTCTGAATAACACCCACATGTACATATTTTTTTTAAAGTAGACAACCCAGGGTATTCAATATGGGGTATGTCCAGTCTTTTTTAGTAGCCACTTAGTCGAAAACACTGGCCAAAGTAAGCATTCATATTTGTTTGTGTGTGAAAAAAGTAAAAAAACTAAATTGAACGCTAATTTTGGCCAGTGTTTGTGACCAAGTGGTTACTAAAAAAGACTGGACATACCCCATTTGCAATACCTTGGGTTGTCTTCTTTTGCAAATGGTATGCCATCATGGGGGTAATTCTCATTCCTGGGCTACCATACGCTCTCAAAGGCAACGTAACCAACCTGGCCATTTTCAATGTAAAAATATTTGACCCATATATTTGACCTTGTAACTTTCAAAAATGCTATAAAACCTGTACATGGGGGGTACTGTTTTACTCGGGAGACATCGCTGAACACAAATATTAGTGTTTAAAAACTGGAAAACGTATCACAACAATTATATCATCAGTAAAAGTGCTGTTTGTGTGTGAAAAATGCAAAAAAAGTAACTTTCACTGACAATATCATGGCTGTGATATGTTTTACTGTTGTGAATCACTAATATTTGTGTTCAGCGAAGTCTCCCGAGTAAAACAGTACCCCCCATGTACAGGTTTTAGGGTGTCGTAGAACGTTACAGGGTAAAATACAGTGCTAACAAATTAAATTCTCTGGAATTTCGGCCTGGGTTGGCAGGCAGGTCCCTCAAATTGCAATCAATAAAATTACTGAATTATGTAAAAATATTACATAAATACGCACGTAGAATTTAAATATATATGCATATTTATATATTTGAAGTCTACGTGTATATTTCTATAATTATTTATGTAATTTTGTATATGGACGTATGTATATTTCTTATTATTTTTATTTATTTTTATATACATAGATATATATACAAATTCATTCTAAGTGTATTTTGATATAAATATATATATATTAATTTTAAAATACAGTTAGAATAAAATTTCATATAGCTATATAATTTTTTTTAAATTTTTATTATTTTAAAAAAAAATTATTTTATTTAAATTACTTATTATTTATATTTTTTAATATATATATAAAATATATATAGTTATTATATATATTATATATATACGTGTGTAATTTAATTATAAGTGTATTTTTATATTAATATAAGTACATATTAATATAAAAATACACTTAGTATGGCATTATATAAATGATATATAGACATATATTATATAGATATAATATATGTCTATATATCATATTTATACATATATAATTATTATTATTTTTTTTATTACCATTAACTTTAATTTTTTTTCTGATTTTACAGTTGCAGGGAGACTGCCTGTCAGCACAGGCAGTCCCCCTGCAGGCAGCACTATGGACACCTATGTGACCATGTGATCACTGTGTTAAGCGATCACATGGCCACAGGGGTCCTAATCTGCCGTGGGGAGACTGTCTGGGCTGCAGGCAGTCTCCCCACAACCGGAGGAACACTGATCGCCGCCGGGGGAACGACGGCGATCAGGTAAGTAGCCCCAGACCGTTTGGACGGTTCAGGACCGTCATCGGTCGGCAAGGCAAAAATGCCGATGACGGTCCTGAACCGTCCTCGGTCCTTAAGGGGTTAAATCAGTATAAAAGAAACCAGTAAATAACATGAGGTATATCTTCCTAGCAACAGGAACAGCCAATCAGCCACCTCTTTATAGTATAATAGGCAGTGTACAGTATACTACTTCCTCTTTCTTTGCTGCTACCTCAGTTAAGTGACTCTGGGTCCCATGGTTCTTAACTGTGGGATCTTTTACTTTATTTTATTCATATCATTACTGTGGTTAATATAGTTTACATTTTAATTATATTTTCATGTTTATAAATATATTTAGTTAAATTTGATTTATTTACTTCAGTTATATGCTTTATTGTATATCCTTTGATAATTTCTTTCCCCTCTGACCTCCCTGGCCCCAAGATTACCATCAATTGGGGCTCAGGGACGTCTTTGAGGATCTTTATCCCCTGAACAGTGTTATTGCGCTGTTTTTTCCCTTCATTTATCTGTCTGGCTGCTGCTCTGCCACCAACTTCCAGAAATCCAGTTGGGGTTTAGTTATAGTGGCAGCTTCTGTGTTTTTATATTACAATTGCTATGTTTTCACTATTGTGTGTACTTTCATTTCTTTATCCTGTTTAGTTATTTATTTTTTACTTGAGGGTTACTCAACCCTTTCCTTTTGGTATTATTTTACTTTATTCATCCCCTTAGGTTTGTTTGTATA